ATTCCTGCTAACCCACCCAAAGAAGTGTACGGCTTCCCGCTCCAGGGAGGTGAGTCCCGGTTAAGCAGCTACACAGACACTCCCGGCAATCCCACCCCTTTGGAAGCGGACTTTAGTGGAACCTTCATGGACCCCTTGGGCTGCCGTAGCCCCACCCCTTGCTCCTCCGGGCTCAGTTGCTCCTGAAGTGACCACTCACCGACGGTATCGGAATGTGCCACTTGGATCGGTCGGCAGCAGCGACGGGTGCCGGTCCTACACTGAAAAGCGACAATGGAGACGTCTGAGCCCCCAGGAGAAGAAGAATGACAGGCAGCACCTGAAGCCACGCAGCCGCCGCCATCTTCACAGCCGTGAAGTGCCTACCGAAAGCATTTCACCTTCTTCCGGTTCGTCCCGCCCTCTTCCGGCTCCGCTCTGGGGGCGGGATAATCCGGGTCCTCAAAACCTCTGGTGGCTTGTTTGTTTAGCGACTCAGCGGCCCCGCCCTCAGGCCGTCGTCAGGCTTGGTGTGAGGCTTTGGACCTACTGCGCAGGCGTCTTCCTGCCGTAACCTGGTCACCTTGGAGTGTTAGGATGATCCGCAAAAGTTACCAGCCGGGTCTGTTGGCTCTTCTCTCTCCCAGCCCTTAAAGAGTTTGGGGACCAGGGAAGAAACCCATGTGGCCTTTGGCTCTCTCCTTCTCCCGTTCGCCCCAGTCCCTCATCGTTTCTGAGTCAGACGCTGGGGCCAAAAGTCTGGGAAAGCCGTAAGTCTGGCTGACTGTTTAGCGTGTAGTAGTGAGTACTCGGTTTCCGGAGGTAGTTAAGCAAAGACTGGAGTTTGGCGGTGGTGGAGTATAAGCCTTCCTAAACGAAATAATGTAGTAGACAACCCCTTTTAAAAGACCCTTCTCACCGTGAAGAGTATGATGTAGAGTTTGATCGGAGAACATATACCTCCAGCAACAACCCCGTCGGCACTTGCTACTCAAAACTAAAATACAGGAGAGAGTGGGTCAGTTTTCAGTATCTGTGGCGGCACAGTCACTGAAGTAGATCTGCAGAAGCTTCGCCCTAATCACGCAGGCCGTGTCAGTACTTTATGGTTCTCACGCCCTTGGTCTGCATCCTCTAGGGCTCTTTGAGTACACGCCTCCTCGGATGCAAAAACCTTTTCAGTTTCTAATGAAGGCAGTTCCTCATCAGCTACTCAGAGCCAAGAAAAATTTGCCAGATAAATCTGTAGAAACGCTAATTTGGGCCTGGAAATCCCGGGAGCAAGTGTCAATTTGTCACTCCTTAAGGACATGAAAGTCCCAGAAACTTGATGGTGGTGAAGTGCTGGCGGTTATTTAGAAAGACTGACAATCTAAAAGATCGCCTGGGGCCTTGGCCTGAGATCTGGGAGCCTGTGAAGTGACTGGGAAGCCATGGACGCAGCTGAGAAAGAGGAAATCAGGTAAAGCCCCAGTGGTCCAGCAGGGACTGACCGCAGGGCCCACGGAAGCAGGGGATAGATAGTACCTGAAAACAACATTTTGGCTTTGAAGATTTTTATTTTTTTATAAATTTTATTTATTTATTTTTGGCTGCGTTGGGTCTTCATTGCTGTGTGCGGCTTTTCTCTAGTTGCGTGGAGCCGGGGCTACTCTGTTGCTGTGCGCGGACTTCTCGTCGAGATGGCTTCCTTTGTTGTAGAGCACAGGCTCTAGGCGCGCGGGCTTCAGTAGTTGTGGCTCGCGGGCTCTAGAGTGCAGGCTCAGTAATTGTGGCGCATGGGCTTAGTTGCTCCGCGGCACACAGGCTGAAACCTGTGTACCCTGCGTTAGCAGGCAGATTCCTAACCACTGCGCCACCAGGGAAGCCCCTGAAGACTTTATTGATTGTTTGATTGCATGTCTTATTTGCATATTTTATATTTGTGGACTCAATCTCTAGCCTTCTCAATTCCCCATGGAATTAATTGATATTAATAGCCCCTCATGAAATACTTGAAGGATGGTTAACAAAACCGGAAGAATTCTTATCAGAACTCTTTTTTAACGTTAGCATGGTGGTATTTTATTTATTTATCTTATAAATTTATTTATTTTTGGCTGCGTTGGGTCTTCGTTGCTGCGCACGGGCTTTCTCTAGTTGTGGCGAGCGGGGGCTACTTGTTGCGGTGCACGGGCTTCTTATTGCAGTAGTTTCTCTTGTTGTGGAGCATGGCCCTAGCTGTGTGGGCTTCAGTAGTTGTGGCACGCAGGCTCAGTAGTTGTGGCTCGTGGGCTCTAGAGCACAGGCTCAATAGTTGTGGTGCACAAGCTTAGTTGCTCCACGGCATGTGGGATCTTCCCAGACCAGGGCTCAAACCCGTGTCCCCAGCATTGGCAGATGGATTCTTAACCACTACACCACCAGGAAAGCCCTGTGATGAGAACTTTTAACACATGAATTTCAAACATGTTGCTTTCCAGGTTCAGCTAAGTACATCTCTTCCTATATCATTCCAGAGTTTATTCTTCAAAACTGGAAAGATCTTTGACATAAACCGCAGCAAGATCTTTTTTGACCTACCTCCTAGAGTAACAGAAATAAAAACAAAAATAAACAAATGGGACTTAATTAAAAGCTTTTGCACAGCAAGGGAAACTATGAACAAGACAAAAAGACAACCCTCAGAATGGGAGAAAATATTTGCAAATGAAACAACAGACAAAGGATTAATCTCCAAAATGTACAAACAGCTCATGGAGCTCAATATCAAAAAAACAATCCAGTTAAAAAATGGGCAGAAGACCTAAATAGACATTTCACCAAGGAAGACATACAGATGGCCAAGAGACACATGAAAAGATGCTCAACATCACTAATTATTAGAGAAATGCAAATCAAAACTACGATGAGATATCACCTCATGCTGGTCAGAATGGCCATTATCATAAAATCTAGAAACAATACGTGCTGGAGAGGGTGTGGATAAAAGGGAACCCTCTTGCACTGTTGGTGGGAATGTAAATTGATACAACCACTATGGAGAACAGTATGGAGGTTCCTTAAAAAACTGAAAATAGAACTACCATATGACCCAGCAATCCCACTACTGGGCATATACCATGAGAAAACCATAATTCAAAAAGATACATGTACCACAATGTTCATTGCAGCACTATTTACAATAGCCAGGACATGGAACCAACCTAAATGTCCATTGACAGATGAATGGATAAAGAAGATGTGGCACATATGTACAGTGGAATATTACTCAGCCAGAAAAGAAACGAAATTGAGTTATTTGTAGTGAGGTAGGTGGACCTAGAGTCTGCCATACAGAGTGAAGTAAGTCAGAAAGAGGAAAAACAAATACCGTATGCTAACACGTATATATGGAATCTAAAAAAAAAAAATATGGTACTGATGAACCCAGTTGCAGGGCAGGAATAAAGAGGTAGACATAGAACATGGACTTGAGGACATGGGGTGGGAGGGCGAAGCTGGGGCAAAGTGAGAGTAGCATCAACATATATACACTACCGAATGTAAAATAGTTGGCTGGTGGGAAGCAGCAGCATAGCACAGGGAGATCAGCTCAGTGCTTTGTGATGTCCTAGAGGGGTGGGATAGGGAGGAGGGGAGGGAGGCTCAAGAGGGAGGGGATATGGGGACATGTATATGCATATGGCTGATTAGCTTTGTTGTGCAACAGAAACTAACACAGTATTGTGAAGCAATTACACTCCAATAAAGATCTATTTTAACACAGTATTGTGAAGCAATTATACTCCAATAAAGATCTATTTTAAAAAACTGGAAAGAGACTGCAAATTTCTCTAATTTTTGTGCTCTTTTTAAAAAAATATTCAAAATTTTGGGCTGTGTTGGGGTCTTCATTGCTGCACATAGGCTTTCTCTAGTTGTGGTGAATGGGGGCTACTTTTCGTTGGCGGTGCGCGGGCTTCTCATTGTGGTGGCTTCTCTTGTTGTGGAGCATGGGCTCTAGGCGTGCAGGCTTCAGTAGTTGCAGCAATAGGGCTCAGTAGTTACGGCATGCTGGCCCTAGAGTGCGCAAGCTTCAGTAGTTGCGGCGTGCGGGCTCTAGAGTGCAGGCTCAGTAGTTGTAGCGCACAGGCTTTGTTATTCTGTGGCATGTGGGATCTTCCTGGACCAGGGCTCGAACCCATGTCCCCTGCATTGGCAGGTGGATTCTTAACCACTGTGCCACCAGGGAAGTCCATAATCTTTGCACACTTAATTAAAAGAAACGGCAACAAAGACTGAGTCAATGAAGGATTTGATTACTTCCATGATAAACCATGGCCCAGTGTATTTGGGCTTGTTTGCAGAATATTTTGCAATTGGTGTTCAGTCATAGCTTCCTACATAATCATGGATATGCTGACTACAGATATATTCATCATGTCTCTACATGAAAGTCAGTGTGGTTTTTTCTTCCTTATAGCCTATAGATGTTTTAATCAGTATGTGTTAAATACATATACTGAAGTAGCAATATACATACATCTTGATCATGTTCTCTTCCAGAAACAGCTTTTTTTGGAAACTTGGTTTTAAAAAACATTGGCCCTGGGCTTCCCTGGTGGCGCATTCGTTGAGAGTCCACCTGCCAATGCAGGGGACACGGGTTCGTGCCCCCGGTCTGGGAGGATCCCACATGCCACGGAGCGGCTAGGCCCGTGAGCCATTGCCTCTGAGCCTGCGTGTCCGGAGCCTGTGCTCCGCAACGGGAGAGGCCACAGCAGTGAGAGGCCCGCGTACCACAAAAAAAAAAAAAACATTGGCCCCTACAGAAGACCTAAATAGACATTTCTCCAAAGAAGATGTACAGATTGCCAACAAACACATGAAAGAATGCTCAACATCATTAATCATTAGAGAAATGCAAATCAAAAGTACAATGAGGGCTTCCCTGGTGGCGCAGTGGTTGAGAGTCTGCCTGCCGATGCAGGGGACACGGGTTCGTGCCCCCGGTCTGGGAGGATCCCACATGCCACGGAGCGGCTAGGCCCGTGAGCCATTGCCTCTGAGCCTGCGTGTCCGGAGCCTGTGCTCCGCAACGGGAGAGGCCACAGCAGTGAGAGGCCCGCGTACCACAAAAAAAAAAAAAAAAAAAAACTACAATGAGATATCATCTCACACCAGTCAGAATGGCCATCATCAAAAAATCTACAAACAATAAATGCTGGAGTGGGGGGGGAGAAAAGGGAACCCTCTTGCGCTGTTGGTGGGAATGTAAATTGATACAGCCACTATGGAAAACAGTATGGAAGTTCATTAAAAAACTAAAAATAGGACTACCATATGACCCAGCAATCCCACTACTGGGCATATACCCTGAGAAAACCATAATTCAAAAAGATTCATGTACCAAAATGTTCATTGCAGCTCTATTTACAATAGCCAGGACATGGAAGCAACCTAAGTGTCCATAGACAGATGAATGGATAAAGAAGATGTGACACATATATGCAGTGGAATATTACTCAGCCATAAAAAGGAATGAAACAGTTATTTGTAGTGAGGTGGATGGACCTAGAGTCTGCCATACAGAGTGAAGTAAGTCAGAAAGAGAAAAACAAATACTGTATGCTAACACATATATATGGAATTTAAAGAAAAAGAAAAGAAAAGAAAATGTTCAGAAGAACCTAGGGGCAAGATGGGAATAAAGATGCAGACCTAGTAGAGAATGGACTTGAGGATACGGGGAGGGGGAAGGGTAAGCTGGGACAAAGTGAGAGAGTGGCATGGACATATATACACTACCAAACATAAAATAGCTAGTGGGAAGCAGCCGCATAGCAGAGGGAGATCAGCTCTGTGCTTTGTGACCACCTAGAGGGGTGGGATAGGGAGGGTGGGAGGAAGGGTGGTGCAAGAGGGAAGAGATATGGGGACATATGTATATGTATAACTGATTCACTTTGTTATAAAGCAGAAACTAGCACACTATTGTAAAGCAATTATACTCGAATAAAGATGTTAAAAATAAATAAGAAATAAAAAACATTGGCCCCTAGATTATCAGCATCATCTTAAAAAGCAAAGGATTTTCCTTCTCTGTCTGTTTCTATCCTCCTTCTAGCACGTCGTACATACCTCTGTTATATCATTTGTCAGGTTGATTTGTGATGTTGGTTAGGCTCTCAAAGAAAACTCGAACACAGTACTTCTTATCTTCCTCAGAGCCCACCACTCAGCAAGAATGTTCTGAAAATATTTTGTTGAATAAATAGGTGGGTGGGTTGTTTTTGTTGGTTCGGTTTGGGGCTTTTTGTTTTTACTCCTTCAGATTTTATTGTTGTAGCCATAGCCTTCAGTCATTAGTTTTAAAGAACCCTTTCTCATAAGTGACAGTGCTCTTTTTCTGTTACTTTCTGAGCAATCCCAGAACTTCATGTTTTGTTGTTTACCATGGGCGGTTTACAAAAGGATGTTGTTCTGCAGCAAACACATTATTGTGTTATGGCCATGACACAATTTTGCATCACAATGATTTATGTCCCATGATTTAAATTATAGTTAGAGAAGGTACAAAATTTGGATTCACAAACCCTATGTAAAATAAGTTTCTTAAAATGTCTTTTTATTAGTGTTGAAGATGAAGCTGTGGATAAAAACATTTTCAAAGACTGCAGCAAGATTGCTTTCTACAGGTAAGAAGAGGAAGTATATGACCTAGATAGAATAGTTCTGAAAATATTTCAAAATTGATGTTTATTAAATTTTTGAGAACTGATAGACTTTCTGAGGAAAGAGTCAATTAGGAAATTCAGTGATTAAAGAATTTATTGACAGGAGAAATTCACCTTTACTACTCTAGCTTAACTCCTGTATTATTTTATTATTAATATGTTATTAATTATAATTAATTATATTGTATACTTATACATTATAATTAACATTACTGTGTTAATAAACAGGTATTTTAAAAGTCAAAGTGTTTTTCAACTAACTAATGTTAAAATTTTGAATCTTTGAAGAAATAATACTTTTACATGGTTCAAAAATCAAATAATATAAAAAGATACACATTGAAAAATGTTACTCTCTTTCTTGTCCCCTTCCACCCCATTCCACATCTTTCCCTGTAAATAACCAGATTTATTAATTTCTTATTTATCTTTCCAGTATTTCTTTTTGTGAATGCACATATGCTTATATCACCACCATTCTTAGGCCAAGTAGCTTTCTATATACACTGTTGTATACGTCTTTTTTTCTGCTTCCTAATTTATTCTGAAGAGCTCTGTATGAGTATATGGAAATTGTCCTCTTTTCATAGCTGTATGGTATTCCATTGGGTAAATTATAATGTATTCAGTCTCTCTCCTATTGCTAGACCCTTGGGTTGTTTTTAGTCTTGCTGTAACGTCACTGCCACAGTGAAAAGCTATACATGTGTCATTTCCTACACATGCAGGTATATTTGTAGGATGAATTTCCAGGAGTGGGATTGCTATGTCAAAGAGTAAATGTATTTGAAATTTTAACTATTACCAGATATCCCTCCATAGAGATTGTGTCATTTTGCACTCCCATCACCACTATATGATTGCCTATTTCCCCAGAGCCTCAAAAAATATTTCTTTAAAACTTTTTTGAGTGTCTACCTTTATGTGGTCCTGAAACTGAAATCACCAAAAATTACATCATACAACTTTCTAATTTATACACACAACTCTAGAGAAAGAAAATCATATCATTTTAATTCTGAACAGGTACCTTAGAGGGAATTCTATAGTGAACTCCTGGTCACCTTGACAAACCACTGGATTATATTGGATTTCCACTAAAATTTATTAAGTTTCAATTAAAGTATACATTTCATGGAAAGAGAGAGGGACATCAACAAGCTAATACGTGTCATCTACGAAAACTGCCCCACCTTCTCAATAAAGGGGACAAAATACCATCCTTGAGTAGTGTTATGGTGAACAATTTTATTAGTACTCTTCTTATTATTTTATTAATTGCATTAGCACTCTGCTTATTAATTTTGTTAGATCTCTAAATTATTGATACTCCTCTTAGTGCTTTATTGGAGTACTAATATACTGCTTGTGCCCAGTTCACCTACTATCGAAGTGAATTTTAATGACTTCCACATGGTAATATAGTCTTTTGGAGGCTGAGAGTCACAAATCATTCTCAGACGTCTGTATACTCCAAATCTGTAGGCGTCAGAAACAGCAGCTCTCCAAGAAGTCTACCTATCGGGCATTACTAGACTCAGTCACAGAAGGCAAAGAGAGCACCAGGTTCCAAATCATCAACGAAGCAGCTAAGGTGAGAAAAAGTATTTTCGACAGAGAATTATTTGTTTCTATATTTATTTGGGTTGAATGAAATAAATTTCCACAAAGGCTAATTAAAATATGTATGCTTCAAAAACAAACTTTGTGAGAGAAATAATGCCATCTTTTTAATATCTACACAATGCTACTTTAAAAGTAATATGACTATCAACATATAGATTGCCTTGTATCAGATGCTTTCTTAGATGTTTTATGAATGTTATTTCCTTTTAATTAATCTTCAGAATCATCTAAGAGGTACATTGCATTGTCCCTAATTTTCAGATAAGGAAATTGAAGTCTAAAAAGCCACTTGCTCAAAGTCATAGCTAGTAACCAGAATTTTCACCTGTGACTGTAGACTCTGTCACGCACCCACGCTTTTTATCACTATTACACAACATACCCTCAAGCAAGGTACAGATTCAGTGAATGTCCAAACCTCAAAATGTGAGTGGGCAAGAGGAACAATGGTCTATGCAGTTGAATAAGTCACAGATGTTCCCACCCCTAAGCTGCTTCACTAACAGACCACCACAGTTATTACATGCTGAAAGGATTAGAGCAGTATCCTAAGTGCTTTTTCTCATCTGTCAAGTTTTCACACTACTTCAGATGGGCCAGTCACAGAGGAAGTGCTGTGGGCCGGGGTAGGAAGTGTGGTTATGCACAAGTAGTTGATGCTTCCAACCTGACCCTCACTTCACATCCTCCCCTGTCTTCGAAAGTTGTCCTAAGCTTCTAAGGCTTCCCAGACCAATCTGGTTTAATTGGTAATTCGCTGAAGGACATAGGTAAAGACGTGCAGTCTAGTCCCATAACAGCTTAGATAGTAATTCCATCAGCTCACTAACAAATCCCAGTTCTGGGAAGCAGACTGAGAAGACATCCCCACTTTCACTGCAGCATTGTGAGAGATCTTGTAACTACTGTAGCGCTTGCCGTATAAAATTACACTGAGGAATCTTCTCGGGGAAGACAGAGCAAACACTGCCCCACAACATCAGGGCGTTCTCTGTAACATTTGTAAGGCCTTTAACTTTGTCGGGAGGCTCAACTTTATTCCCAGGCAGGAGGAGCAATGGCACAGTGAGGAAGGCTACCTTCCATATGAAGTTTTAGAGATTTTAGTCACTTCAAAGATGTAGAATTCTCTAACATAGCTTTCTTGCCTGAATTCAAAATAGGGGCTAGAATCATATCAACAGTTTGTGTTCTCTATCCCCGTCCCTCTTTCCCAACTTATGGTTACTTAAGGATGTAGTTGTGGTAGCAGCACACTTAGTTCTTTTCTCTTAAGTACACTGAAGGGATGGTTAGCCTTTCTTCAAAACCTAGTGCTACTTCTTAATACCACTCATTTTTTTCTGGAGGAATTTCCCTCCTTGCTTGGCATCTGCAACCTTTGAGTTCACAGCTCATGGTAGAGTACTGATCCAGGTCTCCCAAGCTTTACATCCTTTTGTAGCCAAGTTTGAAAGCTGTTCATGGGAAAACATGGGGCAGCATTAATTTCTTTCCTAGAGAGCCACCCGCCATTTGCACGTGGTCTAATAGCCCAATACCCCACCAAACCCCTGTATTCAGGGTCACCAGAAGCAGCTGGCTCCAGGAAATGCAAGGAGTCCACCAGAGACCTTCCAGGAGTCGGTAGGCCTTTAATACCAGCAGTCAGTTCCCTTCCTTTCTCATTTTTCCTGTCATTTGCTCTTTTTCCTTCTTGCCTCTGATATGTCTAGCCCCAGAGAGTTGTAGCTGTCTCATGGTCAGGGATAGTCCCTTTCTGTCCTTGGGGAGGCTCAGTCTGTTGAGCACCTGAACAATCCACTGTCGTGATGACACATGCCAAGGCAGAGTAAATGAGGCACTCGGAATACCAGTGTGGACCAAAATGCAACTTCTCGATGCAGCTCCATACCAGTGAAGTTAGTGGTAGATCCTCTCACACTGCCTTTTACAAGACTATAGGTCAGTTTCTCTGTACACACCTCTCTTTGGATCCTGAAAATATGAGGGACAATGCTGTTCGGGTCAGGTGCCAGAACCAGAGCCCACCAGCTATGGACGCCTTCAAAGGAAAAGAAGCCACAGACCAGGAGGACCCACGGGAGCTCAGCGCAAGACAGCACATGGCTCAGAAGAGAGCTGAGGAGCCGGACAAGCAAGGGCAAGTGATCCAGGATGTCAGCAACGTGGCTCCCAAGACTGAGAACTTTGAGGACCCCTTGGAACATACACAATGTTCAGGTGTTGGAAATAACAGTGCTGCACAGGGAATCTGCGTGCTCTGATGTCAGGCAAATGCATGCAATGTATGTTTTGGGAGGTCACCCTAAAATTCTGAACTGAATGTCATTTTAATGTCCTCCTTGTCACTTGGAGTTGAGATGACTAATAGGGACTTAAGGCTTCGTGCCCTCTATCAGTTTGATAGGGACAACAAAGATCCAAACAGTAATTTCCAAAGTTGTCTGAACCTTGTATCCTGCTCACTGCATAGTCAAGGAGCCTCCATTAGAGGTTATTTCTGGGATGAGATGGGTGTTTCATGGGAGATTTCACAGTAGGATATGGTATGGATATGGTCTGGAGATTTTTAAAAAGCCACGTACATCCACTTATTCAGAATGATAGCTTTTTATTTCAGGTTCAGAGAGACAGAGCCCAAAGTCTAAGAGGATCATATTCAGCTCACAGCTGCAGTTCTCAGATTTCACTGATGAGGCAGATTCTGACAAACCCAGCACTCTTAGTGCCTACCTGCCCTCACACCATTAAAACTCTTAAAGCAATAATTTTGTTGTCAGGCTTTGTTGTTAATTTTTGAAATCCTTCTTCCCAATTCCCTTCTCCCAACCTGCCACTTAATAAGCAACCAGGAAACAGAACCAAGTTTCATTCACCATTGTCTTAGTGAGCTCACACTGCTATAACATAAACTGGGTGTCTTAACAAACCTTTATTTCTCACAGTTCTGGAGTCTGGGAAGTCCTAGATCAAGGTCCCACTTCCTGCCCTGTAGACTGCCTCCTCCTTAGTGTACAGTTGACCCTTGAACAACGCAGAGGTTAGCAGTGGAAAATCCAAGTATGACTTCACAGTCGGCCCTCGGTATACATGGTTCCACATCCACAGATTCAACCAACCAAGGATTGTATGGTACTTAAGTAAGTATTTATCGAAAAAAAAATCCATGTATAAGTGGACCCATGCTGTTCAAATCTCTGTTCAAGGATCAACTGTAGATTCACATGATGGAGAGACAGCTAACTCTCTGGTTTCTTCCTGTAAAGGCAGTAATCCCATCATGACTCCACCTTCATGACCTCATCAAAAACTAAACACCTCCCAAGGCCCCATCTCCAGGTGCCAGCACATTGAGGGTTAGGGCTTCAACATATGAATTGAAGGGTTGGAGAATGGGGAAGGTTTGGAGAGGGGGGAAAATGACACAATTCAGTCCATAGCAAACATGATGTTTCTGGGACACAGTAATGTTACAAAACAAACTGAAGTGTTGCCCTGTGTGTTGCCTCTAGGTCAGGACATCTAGGCTTTGAAGAAAAGCTGGTTGCAGGTTCAAATCCCTAAATTTTCTCACATAGGGTCCTATTTCTTATGACAAAATAATCAGATATTTGATAAAGAAGCTTCCAGAAAAAAATCTTAAAGGAGTTATCAGTAAAGTGTTGACTGCTTTTTTAGACCTCTTTTTTTCCTACTATTATCATTTTTTTAACTTCAGTCAAAATTCGACCTGGATTGAGAAAAAGAGAAGATCTAGGCTTGTGACACTAGAGCAGGGAAATTTATGCTATCTTCTGAGTGTACCTAAAAAGCACTGCTAGCAAGGCTATTTGGAACAGACCTATGTCTTTGACCTACTTTATATTGCTAATTTTTATGCTTTTTCATGACATGTATGGACTATTTGGCAAAATGTTTATTTTTCAGCCTGTTTGCAAGTTTTCACTGGTGACAACACTTCTGGCAGCTTCTCCAAGGATGCAGGGATATCTCTGAGCACGTCCATGAAGTTATCCCTTGCATCTTCATCTAAGCAATGGGACTTTGCCCAACCAGCCACCTCCTCAACAGATGAGGAACAACTACTACTTGTTAACCAGGACTGTTTCTGCAGAAATAGCCAGGAACAGGCAGCTTATTGGGGAACCGGCCAAGCAATCAGAAGCATACCTGGACAGGCTAATTGTCCTTGGGGAACATGCTAATGCCTGGCGTGAACTTGCCAGCGTTCTCCATAGAGAATCAGTGCTTGCAATAAACCAACTGGCTACAACTATGGAAGGGGCAATAAGTGCCCTACAGCAATTTAATGAATCTTAGACCATTCTCTGAATCCTGGAAGGTCTTGACCAATAGCTGAGAGAGGTCCTTGCTCACTTCTCTAGGCCTTTTAGGTTAACTATTCCTTATAATATAGTAGAGAGACCTGGTTCCAGAAGACAAGCAAGATCTACCCATCACGGAGAAGTTGATGGGGTCATAATTTCCCTTATTAATACCCACCACCATTTAAATATATGTTAGAGGGCTGTTCTGTTAACTCAGTCATAGTCTCTACTAGTTTTGGGTGAAATTAAAAAAAAAAAAACTTTTAATGTAACTGTGATCCATTCCACTGCTTGAATGTACAGACGAGGCTGTTTTTACCACTATGATTTTTATAACCTGTCTCATATTTTTGCCCTTGTGGCCACAAAAACTAGACTTAGGGATGACAAACTACTGGGTTTTATTTTTATTCTGTATGGGAGAAATAAGATAGGAAAAGGGAATTTATGCTCTCCCAGATTATGGGAGTTGAGCCACTGAATGAAAAACCAAGTAGAGACTTGTGGTACTAAAATGAACCTCCAAAATGTATTCCTTTCTTTGAGGATTTATTTCATCTTCTCTGTGTAGGAGGACATTTACACTTCTTAAATCTTTCTAGGGGAGCAAAACCCATGCTGTCTCACCTTATTTTAAATGTTTAATTTTATGTTTCTTCACTTATTTTACATAAATCCATCTTGCTGCAATTTTTACTGCTATTCTCTAAATATTAACATTAAATAATTCTGAGTTTATGCAGTCTAACTTCTGTAACAACGTATTTTCTTGTTTTTGTTTTTTTTTGCAGTACGTGGGCCTCTCACTGTTGTGACCTCTCCCGCCGCGGAGCACAGGCTCCGGACGCACAGGCTCAGCAGCTATGGCTCACGGGCCCAGCCGCTCCGCGGCATGTGGGATCTTCCCGGACTGGGGCACGAACCCATGTCCCCTGCATCAGCAGGCAGACTTTCAACCACTGTGCCACCACGGAAGCCCACAACATGTTTTTTATTGTCATTTTTAATCACTAATAGAGATTCAATAATTTATTTATATATTATTTTAAAATAAATGTCCAAACAGTTCTCTAGAGAACAGAAATGTTTAGAAATTCTTAATGTTTTAGATAGAAGGATATAATATTCATGTCCAGACTTTTTTTTTTTTTTTTTAAAGAAGATGTTGCGGGTAGGGGTTTATTGATTAATTTATTTTTCTTGTGTTGCGTCTTCGTTTCTGTGCGAGGGCTTTCTCTAGTTGTGGCAAGCGGGGGCCACTCTTCATCGCGGTGCGCGGGCCTCTCACTATTGCGGCCTCTCTTGTTGTGGAGCACAGGCTCCAGACACGCAGGCTCAGTAGTCGTGGCTCACGGGCCCAGTCGCTCCGCAGCATGTGGGATCCTCCCAGACCAGGGCTCGAACCCATGTCCCCTGCATTAGCAGGCAGGTTCTCAACCACTGCGCCACCAGGGAAGCCCCCATGTCCAGACTTTTTGACAGCCCGGTTTTGGTTGAAGAATTGGACAATAACTGGCAGTTAAGAAGCCCAGGGAAGTGGTTTATAAACTGTCATGCGCAGAGCCCTGAGGTTTCCATAGAGGTGTCTCAGAACTCAATGCAGGAAGGGGAGGTGGCTCAACGGTAGAGGCTCTGAGCCACTTCCTGCTGTTTTCAATCCAAGTAGCTTTACTTATTGGACTTCTGAGAGTCTGCTGCTGTTGATTTTTTTTTTTAATTATTTATTTATTTGTCTGTGTTGGGTCTTTGTTGCGGTGCGCAGGCCTCTCGTTGCGGTGGCCTCTCCCGCCGCAGAGAGCAGGCTCCAGGCATGCGGGCCTCAGCAGTCATGGCACGCGGGCTCAGTAGCTGTGGTTCGTGGGCTCCAGAGCGCAGGCTCAGCAGTTGTGGCTCACGGCCCCAGGTGCTCCGCAGCATGTGGGATCCCCCCAGATCAAGGCTCAAACCCGTGTCCCCTGCACTAGCAGGCAGATTCCCAACCACTGCGCCACCAGGGAAGTCCCTGCTGTTGATTTTTTAAGCCAGTAAAAACGGCATGAGCCAGATCATACAAGCAAATGTATATTAAGGTCTAAGGAAATTATGTGCTTGGAATATGAAGCTATGTTGATGATAATAAGAGATAAGAATGAATCTGGATATTGACTTTGAAAAGGGTTACCTATTGGCAAAATTGGTTTGCTTAATTAAGTTAAAATGAAAACAAAGTGGGGCTTTGACTCTGATTTGTATGTTTGCTTGCCTAGGGTTATGATAGGAAAAGCAGGGTTATTGCTACCTTCTCTCATATAATTAGGATTCTTTACTAGGCTGCAGCCTCAAGAACAGAACATATCAGACCAGTCTTTGGTTTAAAAAAATTAAAAATTTTAAGAAAGTTATTTTACTAATAATGGGAGGATCTCTGAGTATATGAACTAAATGCAATTTGTTAATCACATATAAGGGACAACCTGTGTGCCCTCTGCTTAGGATGTTCTTGCCCATTTTTGCCTACCCAAAGTCCTACTAATCCCTCAAGGCCCTGCTTAAGTCCCTCTTCCTCCAGAGAGATGTCCCAGAACCCCTCTCCTTACAGTCATCAATATTCCCCTTCCTTGTTCTCCCGCAGGACGTGGCCTCGTCCTGTCTCAGCATTTATCATAAAACGCTTTACGGTTACAACATAGGTGTTGCATCTCCTCTAAACTACACTCTCCCTAAGAGTTTAGCCATCCTTTTCACAGCAATCAGCACTTCACAATATTAGATGCCAAATAAATGTTAGTTGAATTAAATTTGAGAGATTAGTGGAAATTTATGTCTAACTTGGGAGGGAATACATAATCTAACAGGATTTCAGCCTTATACTTGGATACATTTTCAAATCTTAGAATTCTGATTGGCACACTTGAAGTAAATTAAATAAACGAAAGAATATTAAACATATAAGCAGTAATTACAGTATGATTGGGGGTGGGGGAAAGGGGGAGGTGTTGGCCAAAGAGTACAAACTTCCAAATATAATAAGATGACTAACAGCATAGTGATTGTAGTTAATAATACTCTGTTATATACTTGAAAGTTGCTAAGACAGTAGATCTTAAATGTTCTCACCACAAAAAGGAAATGTGTGACTTGTGTGAATTATGTGACTTGATGCAGATGTTAGCAAATGCTATGGTGGTGATCATTTTTGCAATGTATAAGTATCAAGGAGTTGTACAACTTAAACTTACACAATATGTCAATTATTTCTCAATAAAGCTGTGGAAAAAATAATTATTGTATGGTCAGTACTACATCATAACCTTGTTTTTTAGTGTGTTTTTTTTGTTTTTGTTTTTGTTTTTTGCGGTACACTGGCCTCTCACTGTTGTGGCCTCTCCCGTTGTGGAGCACAGGCTCCAGACGCACAGGCTCAGCGGCCATGGCTCACAGGCCCAGCCGCTCCGCGGCATGTGGGATCTTCCCAGACCGGGACACGAACCTGTGTCCCCTGCATTGGCAGGTGGACTCTCAACCACTGCGCCACCAGGGAAGCCCCATAACCTTGTTTTAAGAATGTCTGTAAAAGCAGCCACAGCCTATTTACCATTATTTACCTGGTCACTCTTCAGTGTCCTGTCACTGTTCAAGAGCCCTGACTATTTCCTATATTCTGAAGAAGCAAGGTTCCAGTAACACCGTTTTGGCGGGGGAGGGATTGTTTTTGTTTTTGTTTGTTTTTTGGTGCTGCATTAATATTCTCCCTGCTTCCTATATCTTGCTTGCACCACAGCATACCTGTTCTGTGTGTTACCTCACACAGGCTACCCAGCTTAGCCTTTCATTTAACAGATATTATAGTAACAATACACAGACCCAGTTGTAACCAGAATTTGGCATCATTCTGTACTTAATGATTTGCAACCAGTGCAGCATGGCACATCAGTTGAAAACCACTGTCTTAAGATATTTCCCTCATCTTGATGCCTCAGTTTGTAATCTAAATCCAGCCATCTCTGCCTTCAGTTTGTTGTTATTGTTTTATTTTTCAAACTCTGTATTCTCTTTATGATTCTATGTTGCTTCCATCTTTCATCGTAAGCAGTATTTAACCTAAATTCTCCATCCTCTTGAGAAAGCTGAAAATATCCCAGCCTCTAGAGAAAGTTTCCCAGACCTTAATCTAAGTGTACAGGAAGTGCCTTGATTTTAGCACAGGAAGCCTTATTCATCTACAGTAGAGAACCCCAGTGACCACCATTTTACTGTCTATTCTTTTCTATTCTGTGGCTTGTTACCCTTCATCTTTCATTCAACTGGAATCCAGTTACTCTAGTTTTAACACCAAACACTTATTCTTAAGATACCTGTACTTTATCATAGATACAGTGGGCCACATGTCCCAATTTTCCAAGGGCAGTTTCAGTTTATGCCTGTCATCCACTATCGTTATTAATAGAGAGCCCTTTCACTCTTAACAGTCCTGGTCTGGACAATTATATGTTTGCCTAACCATAGAACACATAGGAGGTGTTTGTTTCTACTACAGGTAGAGCCAAGCAAGTACATATAGATTGGAAAGCCTTTCCTTCATGATTGCCATTGTTCTCCAGTTTGCTTGGCCTATAATAATTTAAACATAGTTTTCTAATTATCATAATTTGTAGAACTGACCTGGGTAATCTGTTGAAACTAATCTCGTGTGTGTTCCCAGGTTCCTCTCCTGGCTGAAGTTTATGGTATAGAGGGAAATATTTTCAGGCTTAAAATCAATGAAGAAACACCCTTGAAACCCAGATATGAAGTTCCTGATGTCCTCACAAGCAAGCCAGGCACTGTAAGGTAAGCCAAGAAACACGTTACCTTGGATACACCCTCAGTATGTTCTTCTATCATACCTTGAGTAGCAGCTTTTGTATGAGCCTCTTATTTTGCTTCTTCAAAGATACAACCATTTGCAGAGTTAGTTTTTAGTTATTTGGGGATAAATTTATCCATTTTGATGTTATCCATTCTGTACTCTCTTCCTCCACCATTTGACTCATCAGCACTTATTAATGGGGAGAAGCAGAGCTTCTGATCTTCTCTCCTCCTGACAAAGTAAGCGGTTTATCAGCCAGACTTTGGGAGCAAGCAGGAGAGCTGTTTAACTGACTCACTCAGATGAACAGCAGAGCTCCAGAGATCCAATGTACTAGCAAAACTCCCATGCTTACAGTAAGTTATACAGTTAGACTGACTCACTTTTAATTAACGGCAGTCTCAGAAGTCTAACATATAATCTGTCTTAGAGTCAGAGATAAATTAATAATCAGTTTCTAGGTGGAAAAAAATCTTTAGGGATTAAAGCATTTTTCATGTACCTGCAGAATCTGCATCAGTTCTCAGCACATTTTCCGGTGATATTTTAACTTGGTTCTGTCTGTTGGTTTGTTATTTTCTTTATATCATGTCACTAAGGGAATATAAGATTATGCCAGATGCTTTAATTTTCACTACATCATTATCATAGTTTTATGTAGATTATTTTTTCCATGAAAATCTAATAAAAAGTTAATAAATTATGGGACTTCCCTGGTGGTCCAATGCAGGGGACGCAGGTTCGATCCTTGGTCAGAGAACTAAGATCCCACATGCCACAGGGCAGCTAAGCCTCCATGCCGCAACTACAGAGCCCATGCGCTCTGGAGCCCACACGCCGCAACTAGAGAGAAGTTCGCGTGCTGCAACGAAGAGCCTGCGCACCACAACGAAAGAGCCCACATGCCACAACAAAGATCCTGCGTGTTGCAATTAAGACCTGACACAGCCAAAAAAAAGTTAATAAATTATAAGGAGAAATTAATTTAGCTATGCTAGAACTATCATAAATTTAAAATATATCACTGAGCCACTACTATATGCTAAGAACTTAGGAAATAAGAATTAAAAAGGGACTATTCTCATGGCTTTGCAGTTTGGCAAATGAGAGAGAGAGAGAGAGAGAGAGAGAGAGAGAGAGAGAGAGAGAGAGAGAGAGAGAGAGAGAGAGAGAGGGAGAGAGAGAGAGAGAGAGAGAGAGAGAGTGTGTGTGTGTGTGTGTGTGTGTATTTCCTCTTGGTCACATTACATTATTTTTTACTCTCCTGGACGATTCATTTTACTAGTAGACCTTTAACATTTTTACATCTGTGTTCTTAAGTAACATTAGTCTATAGTTTTTCTGTGCTATCTTTGCCAGGTTTTGGAGTCAGGGTGATATTAGCATTGTGTAGTAAATGTGGTATATTAGTTTTGCTTCTATTTCAGCCTTTTTCTAGAGGATCTTTGGCTACTGTAGTAACTAAAAACTACATTTCTCCATTTCCCAGACTCCCATATAGCTAGTTTCTGATGTAATTCAGGTTCCACCAATCAGATGCACCTACAGTTATCTTGATTTCAGAACTGAGTCTCCCATTTTGCTGGTGTGCATCGGCAGCTATAGAATGACTCTAGAGCCACTAGTTAGGGCAGTGGTTTCCCGATCTCTGGATTGCAGCTGAGTTGGCATGATCCTGGAGCCCAGCAGTTGCCACATTGACTTCTGATTACCCAGCTTCCTGATTCCAGCTAAGAGAGAAGTTCTGTTGGCCTGTACTTATGCATTATTGTTCTAGGAGTCATTACTGAACACTCAGCCAGGAACCTCCTACCTCAAACCTTCCATGATGTTGTAAGCTAATAATTCCTCCATATTAAGTCATTTACTTTCTGCTTAAAATAGCCAGAGTTGTTTCTGTTATCTGCAGTTGAGTTTTGGTTAACATAGTCATTGATATCAGAATGAGTATAAGCAACAGACCCTCAAGGATGGGAATCTGAGCTTAGCTGATCTACTTGGATTTGAAGGCAGTGAGGACCTGGTTTTCATTAGACGGTGAGATATTAATGTTTTGGGCTGAATACTACCCTCCCCAACCAGACTCATATGTTGAAGCCCTATAACCCCCCATACCTCAGAATGTGACTATTTCGAGATAGAGCCTTTGAACAGGTAATTAAATTAAAATAGGGTCATTAGGGTGGGCCCTAATCCAATATGACTGGTATCTTGTAAGAGGAGGAGATGAGGATACAGATAACACAGACAGAGGGATGGCCATGTGAGGACACAGCAAGAAGATGGCCATCTGCAAGCCAAGAAGAAAAGCCTCAGAAGAAACCAAACCGGCTGACACTTTGATCTAGGATTTCCAGCCTCCAGAATTGTGAGAAAATAAATTTCTGATGTTTAAGCCACCCAGTCTGTGGTATTTTGTTATGGCAGCTCTAGCAAATTAATACGACTAGCAATAAACCACGGCATTCTGTGGCAGTCACTTAAATTACTACTTGTGGTTGCCTGAAATAGCGTGCCTATTCAAAGCGTGGCTCAGGCAAACCAAGTGGTGGGGCCATAGCATAGCATGATTGCCATACAAAATTCAAAACTCTGAGGTGGCCTGGCTGCTATTAATTCACTGAAGAACTTAAAGAAAACAGCAGTTTCAGGCTTTTAAATTGTCAGAAACCTAACAGATTTATATGACAATCCTGAAAGTCATATCTACAGAGTCCTCGTAGCTGAAAATCAGAGTTAGATTCTGTGGTTTTCTGAATTAGAGCGTAAGTTGAATTCACAGCTTCATCAGGTTTATGAATTTAGGGCATCAGCTGTGAAAAGGTAGGACTCCCCAAAATTGAATAGCAACATTTGGGAAGATTTGGATAACCCTGAGTCCCAAACCTCAAAATTCCACTGAGCCTCCCAGTTCAGCAGAAGCAGCTCCTTCTCTTCCATCTGATAAGGCTGATCTCACCTGCTTGGACACCCTGTGTTAACCTCACCTGAAATATACTGTGCCAGGGGATTCCAGTGCTCCCTGTGCTTCACCCTTACCACCCTTCACTGCCTCCAGTGCTTTGTTTGAAAATATTTTCTCCCATTCTGCGTATTGTCTTTTCATCTTGTTTATGGTTTCCTTTGCTGTGCAAAAGCTTTTAAGTTTCATTAGGTCCCATTTGTTTATTTTTTATTTTATTTCCATTCCTCTAGGAGGTGGATCAAAAAGGATCTTGCTGTGATTTATGTCATAGAGTGTTCTGCCTATGTTTTCCTCTAAGAGTTTTGTAGTGTCTGGCCTTACATTTAGGTCTTTAATCCATTTTGAGTTTATTTTTGTGTATGGTGTTAGGGAGTGTTGTAATTTCATTCTTTTACATGTAGCTGTCCAGTTTTCCCAGTACCACTTATTGAAGAGGCTGTCTTTTCTCCACTGTATATTCTTGCCTCCTTTGTCAAAGATAAGGTGACCATATGTGCGAGGGTTTATCTCTGGGCTTTCTATTCTGTTCCATCGATCTATATTTCTGTTTTTGTGCCAGTACCATACTGTCTTGATTACTGTAGCTTTGTAGTAGAGTCGGAAGTCAGGGAGCCTGATTCCTCCAGCTCTGTTTTTCTTTCTCAAGATTGCTTTGGCTATTCAGGGTCTTTTGTGTTTCCATACAAATGATAAAATTTTTTGTTCTAGTTCTGTGAAAATGCCATTGGTAATTTGATACGGATTGCATTGAATCTGTAGATTGCTTTGGGTAGTATAGTCATTTTCACAATGTTGATTCTTCCAATCCAAGAACATGGTATATCTTCCCATCTGTTTGTATCGTCTTTGATTTATTTCATCAGTATCTTATAGTTTTCTGCATACAGGTCTTTTATCTCCTTAGGTAGGTTTATTCCTAGGTATTTTTTTTTCTTTTTGTTGCAGTTGTAAATGGGACTGTTTCCTTAATTTCTCTTTCTGATTTTTTGTTGTTAATGTATAGGAATGCAAGAGATTTCTGTGCATTAATTTGTATCCTGCTACTTTACCAAATTCATTGATTAGCTCTAGTAGTTTTCTGGTGGCATCTTTAGGATTTTCTATGTGTAGTATCATGTCATCTGCAAACAGTGACAGTTTTACTTCTTCTTTTCCAATTTGGATTCCTTTTATTTCTTTTTCTTCTCTGATTGCCATGGCTAAAACTTGCAAAACTATGTTGAATAGTAGTGGTGAGAGTGGACACCCTTGTCCTGTTCCTGATCTTAGAGGAAATGCTTTCAGTTTTTCACCATTGAGAATGATGTTGGCTGTGGGTTTGTCATATATGCCCACTTTCTGGAGAGTTTTTATTATAAATGGGTGTTGAATTGTCAAAAGCTATTGAGAATGATGTTGGCTGTGGGTTTGTCATATATGCCCACTTTCTGGAGAGTTTTTATTATAAATGGGTGTTGAATTTTGTCAAAAGCTTTTTCTGCATCTATCGAGATTATCATATGGTTTTTATCCTTCAGTTTGTTAATATGGTGTATCACATTGATTGATTTGCATATATTGAAGAATCCTTGCATTCCTGGGATAAACCCCAGTTGATCATGGCATATGATCCTCTCAATGTGCTGTTGGATTCTGTTTGCTAGTATTTTGTGGAGGATTTTTGCATCTATGTTCATCAGTGGTTTTGGCCTATAATTTTCTTTTTTTGTGACATCTTTGTTTGGTTTTGGTATCAGGATGATGGTGACCTCTAGAATGAGTTTGGGAGTGTTCATCCCTCTGCTATATTTTGGAAGAGATTGAGAAGGATAGGTGTTAGCTCTTCTGTAAATGTTTGATAGAATTCACCTGTGAAGCCATCTGGCCCTGGGCTTTTGTTTGTTGGAAGATTTTTAATCACAGTTTCAATTTCAGTGCTTGTGATTGGTCTGTTCATATTTTCTATTTCTTCCTGGTTCAGTCTTGGGAGGTTGTACTTTTCTAAGAATCTGTCCATTTCTTCCAGGTTGTCCATTGTATTGGTATATAGTTGCTTATAGTATTCTTTCATGATCCTTTGTATTTCGGCAGTGTCAGTTGTTACTTCTCCTTTTTCATTTCTAATTCTGTTGATTTGAGTCTCCCTTTTGTTCCTGATGATAGACCTAGAGATTTTAAGTGCTGTCTCTGAGCTTATATAACTCCTGGGGATCCAAAGCATCCTAAAAGTCTATGTGTCTGATTGGGCTGTTGGAAGTCAGGTGATAAATAAACAAAAGTTTCACCTTTCCATCTCACTTTGGACTGAGTGAATCAATAACCTAATCTGTGTTATTTACTCAGTTTCTGAGTGTAGGGCTGGAACAAGAAAGAAAAGCAAAATGTTTAAATTCTATGCACCAACTTGTTACTAGACTGTCCAGACCAAAGTAATAATGATGATGAGAGCTAACATTTACTGAGCGCTTATTATGTGCCAGGCTCTGTGCCAAGTGCTTTACATGTGTGATCTCATTTAATCCTCTCAAAAAGCTCTATTTGTTCTTGCTTTTAGCATTTCCACTTTACAGATGAGGAAACCAAGAACTAGAAAGATTAACTTGTCCACAGTTATACACCTAGTGCGTGGGAGAGCTATGTTTAGTCCAGGCTTTCTGACACCAAAGCCCATGCTCTCAATTACAGCTCTCTGCTGCCTTATCTGTGCTATGTCACATGAATATTGATTTACTAATTTGAATTGAGAATTGCATTGAGCCATGTAAACCTATAGCAATTTATTTTTCTCTTCATGCCTTGTTTTCCAGGCTGATTTCATGCTCAGGGGATACAGGCAGTCTCGTATTGGCAAATGGAAAAGGAGATCTGAAGTGTCACATCACAGCAAACCCATTCAAGATAGACTTGGTATCTGAAGAAGAGGTTGTGATGAGCATAAACTCCCTGGGCCAATTGTACTTTGAGCAGCTGCAGATTCCTCCCAAGCAAAGGTATTTTTGCACATTACTTAACACATAAAGAACTTAAGAAAACCTGATTGTGAATACCAGTTGCCTAAATAGATAATACATCACCATAGAAAACTGGTTTGCCTTATTTGCTGGGATATTGTTCTGAGAAATTTCATCTTTTCACCTGTGCAGGTGAATGCAGACTTGATGACAAAAATTATTCTCAGACATTTGTGAAGATGACACTCTTAACACATCCTGTATGTTTGACTGAGGACATTCTCTACCCTACACATCCTTCTAAAAAAGCACCCTGTTAACTTTTTTTTTTAATAAATGTATTTATTTATTTTTGGCTGTATTGGGTCTTCGTTGCTGTGCGTGGGCTTTCTCTAGTTGCGGCGAGCAGGGGCTACTCTTCATTGCGGTGCACAGGCCTCTCATTGCAGTGGCTTCTCATGTCGCAGAGCACAGGCTCTAGGCAAACGGGCTTCAGTAGTTGCAGCACGTGGGCTCAGCAGTTGTGGCTCGCAGGCTCTAGAGCTCAGGCTCAGCAGTTGTGGCGCACAGGCCTAGTTGCTCCACGGCATGTGGGATCTTCCTGTACCAGGGCTTGAACCCATGTCCCCTACATTGGCAGGCAGATTCTTAACCACTGTGCCACCAGGGAAGCCCACACCCTGTTAACTTGATAGATGCTAATGTGAACTAACATGTCTTCAGAATTTCATTTTACCTCTTTAGAATAACATGAGTTACCTTAGACTTGAATAGTTGTCCAGGAATTTTCTGGAACCAACCATTTGATCAAAGCTGTTTGTGTGTGGGTCGCATGAATTGGAAGATAGTAGTAGAAGTAGATTCTTCTTCCGTTTTTACCAATATTGTCTTTAAATCCTCCAGTCTTTCTATTTTTACCCAAATAATGAACATATTATATGAGCTGCAGAAAGCATTCAACATAGTGATTTTTTTCTGAGTTTCAACTTATTTCTATTTTAAAATTTTAATATTAAAAAATCTTATTTTGGGACTTCCCTGGTGGTGTAGTGGTTAAGAATCCACCTGCCAATGCAGGGGATGCAGGTTTGAGCCCTGGTTCAGGAAGATCCCACATGCCACGGAGCAACTAAGCCCATGTGCCACAACTGCTGAGCCTGCGCTCTAGAGCCCTCAAGCCACAACTACTGAGCCTGCACACTACAGCTACTGAAGCCCACACACCTAGAGCCCATGCTCTGCAACAAGAGAAGCCACTGCAATGAGAAGCCCACACACCACAACAAAGAGTAGCCCCTGCTCGCCACAACTAGAGAAAGCCCGCGCAGCAACAAATACCCGACGCAGCCAAAAATAAACAAATAAATTTATAAAATATAAACGACTTATTTTATCACAGAAATGTGTTCATTGAAGGAAAAATAGAAAATATTGAAAAGAAGAAAAATTAAAATACCCACAATCCTGCCACCTACTCTCTTAGTGCCTTATGAATATAATTCAATTACTTTTTTGTTTTTTTTGTTTTGTTTTGTTTTTTGCGGTACGCGGGGCTCTCACTGTCGCGGCCTCTCCCGTTGCGGAGCACAGGCTCTGGACGCACAGGCTCAGTGGCCATGGCTCACGGGCCCAGCCACTCCGCGGCATGTGGGATCTTCCCGGACCGGGGCACGAACCCGTGTCCCCTGCATCAGCAGGCAGACTCTCAACCACTGCACCACCAGGGAAGCCCCAATTACTTTTTTTGACTGAAAATACTAATAGCATAACAAATCCCTGTATTTGTTATTTATATTTAATTCATTATTTATTTATATTTAAAGTATTAATATTTAAAACATTTTTTCCTTTTACTAAACTCCCATTATTTTTGTTTTATTTTGTTTTAGAGGTGATATCTAAGTTGGGCTTTTAAATTTTTATTTATTTTTTTTAATAAGCACATTGTACAAAGGTGTATATACACAGGGAGATCAGCTTTGTGACGACCTAGAGGGATGGGATAGGGAGGGTGGGAGGGAGGTTCAAGAGTGAGGGGATATGGGGATATATGTATACATATAGCTGATTCACTTTGTTGTACAGCAGAAACTAACACAACAGTGTAAAGCATTTATACTCCAATAAAGATGTGGAAAAAAAAGGTGTATATAATATAGTGAAAAGTCTCCCTCACCATTTGTACTTGAGCTACCTCATTCCATGCTTGAAAGTAATCAGTGTTTCCAGTTTTCTGTGTATCCTTCCAGAGATAATTTATGCCTATACAATAAGATTAATGTATTCTTTGTTTTTTCCTTTCCTGACACAAATGATATCATCTTTACACATTATTCTGTACCTTGCTTTTTTTCCCTTTACCAATGTGGTAGTTTCTAATTTCTTTAAAACAGCTACATAGTTTCTATTATATGGTTACACTGTGATTCATTTAGTTAATCCCTGCTAGTAGACTTTAAAGTTGTTTCTGATATTGTTTTACAACTACTTACTTCATGAATAACCTTGTATATGTGTCATTTTGCATACATGCAAGTATATCCATAGACCAGAGTCATAGAAGTATAATTTCTGATCAAATGGTTTGTACATCTGTACTTTTGATAGATGTTTCCAAATTGCCTCCCATAGAGGTTGTGTACTAGTTTATATTTCCATTATTTGTATTTATCTTTGTGTTAGGAAAATTAGATTATCCACTTGGGAAAAATATGTAAGGTCCTAACCTCAGAACATTAGCAAAAATGAATTCCAGATAAATAAAAATAAAGCACACAAGAAAATAAAAATAGGAAAACATGTAGAATTTTAAAAATCTTATTAGTGTAAGAAAAACTGAAGAGCCATAAGGAAAAAGGTTGATTGATTCGATTACTTAGAAATTTTAAACTTTAAACTTTATTATAACCACAAAAACAAAATACAAACAAACAAAAAAACTTGAACAAAATGAAAAGGCAAGGACTTGTAATTTCCAGCCTGGCATGTGAGGAGCTCAGAAGTTGCCACAAACAAGAATGAAACATCAATCAAAAAAAAAAAAAGAAAATTACTCAAAATACAATATAGACCTAAATGTAAAACCTAAAACTATAAAACTTCTAGACAACAATGAAGAAAATCTTGAAACCTTGGATCAGGCAAAGATGTCTTAGATATTACACCAAAAGCATGATACACAAAAGAAAAAATGGGTTAAATGGACATAACCAAAAGTAAAAATGCCTGCCCATTCAAAGACTATATGAAGAAATAGGTTATTATTCTTCCTTTAATTTGCATTGACTATTAATTATTTTATTTTGTTTTATTTTATTTTATTTTACTGTAGTAAGAGCACTTAACATGAGATCTACCCTCTTCACAAAATTTTAAGTGTTCCATACAGTATTGTTAACTGTAGGCACAGTGCTGTACAGTAGGTCTCTAGAACTTATTCATCTTGCTTAACTGAAACTTTATGCCCATTGATTAGTAACTCCCCATTTCCCCCTCCCCTTAGGCCCTGGCAGCCACCATTCCTCTTTGAGTCTATGAATTTGACTATTTTAGATACCTAATATAGGTGGGATCATGTAGTATTTATCTTTCTGTGACTGGCTTATTTCACTTAGAAAAATGTCCTCAAGGTTCATCCAGGCCTTAGACTTTGTTCATTTGAGTATGAGTTGCTTCAAACTGGAGGAAATGATCTGGAAATGCATTAAAATTTAAAATATGCATACGTTTGAACTAGCAGTACTACTTTTGGGACTTTGTCCTGTTGTAATCAAACACACATATATCTAAGATAAATGTATGAAGGCATTTATTGTGGCATTGTCATAGTAAAAAACTAGAAAAAACCTGAATAATTAACCATAATCAATTATAATAAAATATTATTCAACAATAAAAAAGGGACATTAATCCCTCTGTATAATGATTCAAATAAAGCTTTGGTATATTAAAAAAAAGACTATATGAAGAGAATGAAAAGATAATTCATAGACTAAGAGAAAATATTTGCAAAGTATATATCTAATAAAGAAGTTATATGTATTGATATAATATAGAAAGAACTCTCAAAATTTAAGAAAATAATCTAATAAACAAAAGATTTGAACAGATATTTCACCAAAGAAGATATACAAGTGACAAATAAGCATTTGAAAAATACGCTCAATGCCATTAGTCATTAGGGTATTGCAAATTAAAACAACAGTGACGTACTACCACACACCTATTAGAATGGCTAAAGTTTAACAGGCCGACCATATTGTTAATGTAAATTGACCAAATAAAATTATATCCTTCTTAGCAGGAGCTGATAAACTGACACTGGGCTTGGAAATGTAAAAAAAATTTTCTATAGACGGGCTGAACTGAAACCAGGGAAGAGTGAGTTCACTAGATGGGGGAACATGGCTATTTGGAGTGAAAGGTCAGTCCACAGCATCGTAATAACACTAATGTGTATATTCACAACAAAGTAATGTCACTACATTTAATAGACAGCACCAAAAAGTAGACATAGTGGGGACAAAAGTTCCCTGATATAAATGGCTGCCTACTTATTGTCCTTGTGGATCCTTGGGAGGCATTCTTTGAGACCAAATTGAGACTGGTCCCTGGGCAGAATGCTGCTCTCTGCCTGTTGAACATTCATGCTGCAAGAAGAGGTAATGAGCCTTATTCTAAGTACAGATGTACCTTGTACTTGTGTAATGTCCTAAAGGAGAATCATAGTTTACATGCAATCTTGCAATCTTCTGCTATGCAAAGTGTTTATTTTGCCTTTTTCAATATATTTGCTTGACTTAGGCACTTTGAACAAGGAAAAGAAAAATAAAACACCTCTGAACTCTGATCTTTCACTGCTTTTGTACATTCTGATTGTGAAGTTGAGGGTAAGGATGTTCAGAAACCCATGGGGAATTTATATGCCTCCAGAATATTGTGCCTGTTCTAATATGATGAGCTTTTAAAACACTTCGTTAAAACATGAATCAATATGTGTAATTGTATAGATACTCAGCTAATTTTGAATGCTGCTGATGGCATAACTATATATAAATATAAATATAAATATAAATTTTTATATCCAAAAATATATTCTTGTGTGCTGCTTTTCCTACCTGGCGATGTTATTTCATATAATGAAGATTGTTTTCTTTTTTACTAACTCATTTCAAAGAGAAAGAATTTTACTTATAAGCAAGCTGTTTGTCCCCCAAACATTCCAAAACAATTCTTTTTCTTCTTTGTTTTTTTCATCCAATAAATGATAGCATTATGATCTTTAAAAAAGAAAATAGCAGAGCAGTTTTTCAGTTATCTGAAACGCTGTCTCCTGGGCTGCAGTCCTCATTTTGCCCCCAATAAAACTTAACTCCCGACTCTCAAAAAAAAAAAAAGAAAATAGGAGTAGTTACATTAATTTCAGAAAGAGCTAACTTCAAAACAGGGAAAGTATGTGCCTGATAACAAAGCATCAGAATACTTGAGGCAAGAATGATAGAACTGCAAGTAGAAGTAGATGAATCCACTATTATAATTAGAGACCTTAACACCCTTCTATCAGGAATGGACAGATTCAGCAGGGAGAAGATCAATAAGGACATATTCTAATTCAAAAGCACTATCAATCAGCTGGCTATAATTGACATCTATAGTCTCCTTCATCCAACAACAGTAGAATACACACTCTTCTCAAGCTCACATGGAACATTCACCAAGACCATATTTTGTGTCATAAAACATACCTTAACAAATTTAAACAAATGGATATCATACAACACCAGCTCTCAGACCACAATGCAATTAAACTAGAAATCAACAACAGAAAGCTGGAAAATGCCAAAATACTTGAAGATTAAACAACATGCTTCTTAATAACATAAAGAAGAAATCTAAAAAGAAGGAAAGGAAAAGATTTCAAACTAAATGAAAATTAAAATACAACTTATCAAAATTTGTGGGATGCAGCAAAAGCAGCGCTTAGAGGGAAATTTGTAGCATTGAATGCAAATGTTAGGGGGGCAGATGCATTTGAAGATAGGCACATAGGAACTCCAAAAGAACAAGTCATTTCTGTTGCTTATGCTCACTGGTAGGTTCATAATTGTTCACTTTAGTATTATTCTTTAAACTCTGTGCATACATTATATACTCTTCTATATGCATTCTGCATTTTACACTAAAGAAAAAATTAATGTATAATGAGTATGAATAGACAACTCACAGAACTAGAAATACCATTTAATGTATAAAAAGGTAGTCTGCATCATTAATGGTACAAGTTCAAATTGAAATGCATTATCTTTTCTAAAACTTCAGATTGGCAAAGAGTTAAAAAAAGATCCATGAAGTCTAAGTATTGTTAAGAATGGAAGAAATATGCACTCAAATACAACCATAGGTGTTAGAATAAGTTGTCATCATCCTGCAAGACAGTGCATCATGTTGCTCCATTCTAGGGTAATATTGCGTGAGAGGAACTGTGTTCTACCTTGCTTATGTTTTGTTTAAATACTATGAACATGTATTACATTTATAATAAAAAAACTGATTAATGTATTTTTGAAAGAGTTAAGAAAATTCAAATCTATCTACATTTTATAAGAAATCAAGCTGTTGGATTAATGTTCATATAAATGTTTAATTTCGTAAATTTATTTTTATAATGATGTTATTTTTATTAAGTTAAAGGATATAATTTATGGGGTCTCAATATTTGGAAATGGAAATCTTTATCATTGAACAAATTGTCAGTCTTGCCATGAGTGAAACAACTTTATATTACAGCAGAGCTACCAAGGAAAATGAGGAGGATACATCAGATGACACCACTCAGGTAATCTACATAGAGTAATTTATCTTTTTAAAACGTTTTTCACTATCATCATCATTATGTGGAATATAATAGGTCTGTTCTTCCCTTATACAGGTGGGTAGTTGGTAAATGCTTTACTGCATATAAATGGGACCTCCTGTAGGCCGGGCACTGTTAAAGGAATTGGTGCTGTATCATCAAACTAATCAGATTCCCTCATTATCATGGAGCTTACATTCTTCTAAGTCACAATAACTTTTTTGGACTTTAAGAGCAAAGGAGAACTATGGAAAGGTCTTAAGCAGCAGAGGTACATGGTCTGATTTCTGTTTCGGAAAGATTATTTTGGCTAAATTCTGGAGAATGGACATTCCAGAAATCTTCTCTTCATCCAAAGCCCCACACATCTTTAAAGGAACCCTGACAGTAGCTATGGCCACCAAGAATGGTGAAAAATATTTCCGGCGCAATAAGACAAATGCTTCTCCCTCTTGAGAACTGGCCCATACTGATGAATATGAGAGAGAATAATTTTTCCATTTTCAAATAGGGAAGATAAAAACTAACACATTTGTGCCTTACACAGCTTTGTGACAATATGTTAGATTAGCTTTTGGGAGACCTCTAATTAGATAGCTTAGATAGTGGTTTTGAGTCAAACACCCCCTTGCAGGAATCTGATGAAAGCTGTGAACAATCTCTGTAGAAAAAAAAATTTTTTTCCTACTGTTTCAGGGAGTTCACAAACTTTAAAGCCTATCTAGACCTCAGGATAATAATCCCACATTAAGAATTCAGGTGTTGGACTTCCCTGGTGGCGCAGTGGTTGAGAGTCTGCCTGCCGATGCAGGGGACACGGGTTCGTGCCCCGGTATGGGAAGATCTCACATGCCGCGAGGCGGCTGGGCCCGTGAGCCATGGCCGCTGAGCCTGAGTGTCCGGCGTCTGTGCTCCGCAACGGGAGAGGCCACAACTGTGAGAGGCCCGCGTAAAAAAAAAAAAAAAAAAAAAAAAAAAGGAATTCAGGTGTCATTTAAAAAAAAACAGGCTCACTTTACAGAAGCTTTAATTATGAAGAAACAACCTAGAAATAGGGAAAGGGCTCACTTTATTATTATTATTGTTATTATTATTTATTTATTTATCTTTATTTATTTAGGCTGTGCTGGGTCTTAGTTGTGGCACTCAGGATCTTCGTTGCAGCATGCAGGATCTTTTAGTTGTGGCATGAGAGATCTTTTAGTTGTGGCATGCGGACTCTTAATTGTGGCTTGCATGCGGGATCTAGTTCCCTGATGAGGGTTCGAACCCAGGACCTCTGCATTGGGAGTGCGGAGTCTTACCCACTGGATCACCAGGGAAGTCCCTCACTTTTTAAAAAGAAATGTGCTTTTCACATACACTCACAATTCTTTTAAAACTTTTTTCATTTTACCAGAGAAAAGGTGACTTTTGTAAAGCTTGAAAGTTCATGGCTGTAGGTCAAAAGGTAGTGAACCCAATCAGTGGCCATCCCAGTTGACTTCTCCATCCAGCACAGGAGCACAGCCAGTTCAGCTAATTGAAGCAGGGGGGAAAGTGCCCATCTCAGCCAAAATCTTTGCTTAGGGTCTCTCAGAAGAGACCCAAGTTATTTGATTCTAAATGTTTTGCCTTACATATGGAAAAGACTGCATTTTGCAAAGTGCTTTCACATCATTTTGGCTCTTTTAAAGATATTCACGTCAAACAGTGTGGCAGTTCCTAAACAATTAAACATAGAATTACAATATGAAGGGCTCACCTGGTGGTGCAGTGGTTAAGAATCCGCCTGCCAATGCAGGGGACACGGGTTCAAGCCCTGGTCCAGGAAGATCCCACATGCTCTGGAGCAACTAAGCCCATGCGCCACAACTACTGAGCCTGCACTCTAGAGCTCACGTGCCATGACTACTGAGCCCGCGAGCCACAACTACTGAGCTTGCCTGGTGCAACTGCTGAAGCCCGCATGCACCTAGAGCCCATGCTCTGCAACAAGAGAAGCCACTGAAATGAGAAGCCCATGCACCGCAACGAAGAGTAGCCCCTGCTCGCCACAACCAGAGAAAACCCATGCCCAGCAACAAAGACCCAACGCAGCCAAAAATAAAAATAAATAAATAAATATTAAAAATTAAAGAAAAGAATTACAATATGATCCAGTAATTCCATTTATGGATATATATCCAAAACTGAAAGTGGGACTCAAACAAATATTTGCAGCCTATGTTCATAGCAGAATAATATTCACAGTAGCCAAAGGTAGAAGCAATCTGGTAATCCAAGAGTCATTGACAGATGAGTGCACACACAAAATGGAGTATGTACATGCAATGGAATATTATTCAGCCTTAAAAAGGAAGGAAATTCTGATACATGCTACAAAATGCATGAATCTTGAAGACATTATACTGAGTGAAGTAAGCCAGTCTCAAAAGGACAAATACTGTATGATTCTACTTATATGAGATATCTAGAGTAGTCAAATTCATAAAGACAGGAAATAGAAAAGTAGTTGTCAAGAGATGGGGGGAGGGGAGAATGGGGAATTATTGTTTAATGGGTGCAGAAGTTCAGTTTGGAAGGATGTAAAAATTCTGGAAATGGTTGGTGAGGATGGTTGTAACAACATGTGAATGTACTTAATGCCACTTAAAAATGGTTAAAATAGTAAATTTTAAGTTATGTACATTTTACCACAATAAAAAATATATTCATGTCTGCTATAGATCATAAGGATGATTAATGGCATTTATATAGAACATAGATCTAATTTGTTTAATATACTGATATCACAAATTGGCCTTTCAAAAGATGAAATCACTTCCTCAGTCTAATAGTTTAATCAAATAAATGTGCTATTGTGGTAACAACATTTGTTGCAATATATAACCTCAGTTTGCTCCCTTTTTTTGTGCCAACAGGAAAATCAAGAGGAACTGGGCCTGTGGGAGGAGAAATTCAGAAATTTTGTGGATGTCAAAGATAATGGTACAATTAAAACTGGTATAGTGTTAAAACAGACCTCTCCAAAATGGCCAAAAGTCTCTATCTAAAAGTCCCTTGAGCTTTGGCACCTAAACACATGACTTCTGTAAGGTGAACAGAAATCTCATGTTTGGGTCCCCTATTCTTCAGTAATGCATTGCAATAGAGAAATAGTGAGTGTATGACTTGTGGGGAGTGTAGAAGTATAGGCCTCAGGGAGCTTCTGGTCTCATGGAGGTCCGCATACTGCTTGCACTATGCAGTGAATCAGACAGCTGCAAATTCCACATTCTATTTTTATGAGAGTCAAGTGATGAGAAACCAAGTTCTAGAGCTCATTGGCTCCAACATTTCAATGCAGTGGTTCTCAGCCTTTTCCAGGCCTCCCCATCATTCATGTGAACATCATGTGACCATCTATGACATTTCTCACTAGGCTTAGTGATGGGGGGTGAGGGTGTAGGTGGCTGGGAAGGAATTTGTCCCTTTAGGAGACACGGTTCAAATACTTGGGGCTTATTTGGAAAAAATACTCACTTTTCCCCTTATTTCTCCCTACCCTGGGGAATAACAGACCTTCCCTAACTCCTTGAGAATCTCTGTTCTAGCATCTATTTCTATAGCCTCATATAATGATCAGGACTGACATGTGCCCAAAAATTATAAGTAGAGGGGCCCTAAAGCTCCCCTTTCTGTAACATTATAATCCTTTTTACCTTACCTAAAGCACCTGCTTTCCATAAACTCCTCCAAATAAGGACCATTTGATGGCAAATACTTTTACCTGAGAGGGAATTTAAGTCAATGTTATCTCTCCTAGTTACTTTCGTTTTCCCCATCTCTCTAAAATAATTGTTAAATAAAGGACTTTGTCTTTGGCTAAAGGAAATTTATATATCTACAATCACAGGGAAGGGGGTATTTTGAGGAGCCAGGAAAGGTCCTCCTGGTGCCCTTGACCTTATAGTTTCTGTATGCAGTAAGAATGAACAGTCAGGCAGAAGACACCCAGTCTTTCATCTAGTAAGTATTAAAAGTGCTCGCTATCATCTGCTTCCTAAAGCAAACAAGTATGCAATACATTTCTGGAAAATTTAGATTAGGGAAAAAATCTAAAACTTTGTAATCTTATTTTACAGATAGAAAAGAGATTTACTATAAATGAGGACACAGAGAACTTTAGCACACAGCTAAGGAAACATAACTAATAAGTGCCCAGAACTTTGCCGTGTGCATTTTTGTATCCCCACAACACCTAAATATAACACCGTACAGAGAGTCAGCGTACATGATTTACTGATTGATCAGGGCAAGCTCAGGTCTCTTGATCCCTAGTCTAGTCATCTTGCTGCTCTTATAGTTGCTGAATCTCCTTAATCGATTGTCCCACTGAGAAGCAAAACTCAGTCACTATCCTGGTCCCTGCAGGTCCTGCCTCCATTGGTTTGGATTTCTCCTTGCATGGGTTTGAGCATGTCTATGGGATCCCGCAACATGCAGAATCACACCAACTTAAAAATACCAGGTAAAGTGAAAACAAGAATTCTTACAGGAGGCTCTGGTTTCTGGACTGGAAAAGTTTGAAAGGAAAATATGTGAGATGTGTGAGCCAGTGCTAATATGTATCTGGCCTTTCCCCTCTTGATATCTTGTAGATCTTTAAGAATTTCCCTTTAATGATCACCCAGAGCAGTGGTTTTCAATTTTTATATTTTGGCAAAAAGAAGACAATTATAAAAACTGTATTGCTGAACCTAAAAATATAGAGGAAGTAAACATATGGAGCTGCTGTGGTTGAAGTAGCGGGGAGAGCTTCATAATATCACCTCCCCGGGTTTTGCTTTCATCTCCCAAGGCCTTTCTGCGGAACCCTGGGAAATACACTGTGAAGATCACTGACCTAGAAAAAGGCTTTTACCAAAAAAGGACAGTGAGCCAGAGAATGGAAGAGTGTGGCATCTCATATCACCTTTGATTCCCTCGGGGAGATTATTTCAAACTAACACTATTGACAAACAAATGCCAGGGGTATCACTCTAAGAGGAAGCGGAACCAAAGAGAAACAGAGTCTGATCAAATTTGCCAGGTTCAGATGCTGTTTAGATAATAGGGAGACATAGTGACAAGTGAATCAGAAACTGTGTTGCTCTCACACCAACCTGAGCTCTGTGTTCCCCACCTCAATTCAGTTCCTAATCTTTCACTACTCAGCACTGGGGAAACATGTTAGGATACTATCATTTTGCTTTCACGACAGAGAAATACAAAATTTGTCCATTTATTGTGTGCTTGCTGTTATGCAGGATTCACAGGAAATGGTCCTCACCTCACAAGAGATATTTAGAAAAGCTATCTAAGATATGAGATCATACACGCCAATAGTAACATGAGGGGATGCCAAAAGAATCAAAGGAGGAGGATCATATTCACCCACATTGGGTCAGGAAACCTTTAGGGAAGTGTTAGGAGTTGAGCTTTGAAAGATGTATTGTACCCAAGGGGAGAATGCAGGGGAGAATGGAGCTATAATATTCATTAAGAATATATATGCAGTGGTAATTGGTAATCCTTCTTTGTGTGTTTCAGTGATGGAGATGCTTACCGTCTTTATAACCTAGATGTCTATGGATATAAAATACATGACAAAATGGGCATTTATGGTTCAGTGCCTTATCTCCTGGCCCACAAACTGGGCAGGACTCTAGGCATTTTTTGGCTAAATGCCTCAGAAACACTAGTGGAGATCAATACAGAACCTGCTGTAAAGGTAAGCAATGGATCATGGCTGCATGTCATACTCACAGAAGAAACAAAACCACTGAAGTGTAATTGTAGCTCTGGGCTTTTAATGGCAGTCCTCTGCCTCCACAGTCCTCGCAGTATAATCAGTGAAGGTTATTGGTATGTACTAAAGGATCAGACTATTACACACATATGGATGGGTGTTGTGGGTTAGAGGGAAATTTTTCAGACCTTCATTCCATTCCTTTTCCAGTATGCATTGACCCAGACGGGCCCAGTTGTTGCTAAACAAAAGGTCAGATCTCAAACTGATGTGCACTGGATGTCAGAGAGTGGAATCATTGATGTTTTTTTGCTGACAGGACCTACACCTTCTGATGTCTTCAAGCAGTACTCATACCTTACAGGTACTTGCATGTGGAAGTGCCAGTTTCTTGTTCCATTATATTTCCTCTATCCCATGTGGAATCACTGTAAATTAATATTTGTTGTACACCATATAGTATTTATAAACAACTTACCCAAGCTTTTAAAGAAGCAAGCATTTCTCCTCCCACTCTCATCCCATTCGGCTTGGTTAAACATTCCACTGGGGCTGGAACTCTCCATTCTTTAATCCCTAATACTCACCATCTGCCTTCCTTAGAGCCTTTTAACCCCTGGGCTTTCTCTGCCTTTATCTCAGATGACCAGTATCCCAACCTGAACTTTTCTATGTTCTCTTCTCCATTAAAATATAGTGGCTTTAGCACTATAAAGCATTTTATCTTTAAAAGATATGAGATCATCTCAATTGATAGCAGAAAAAGCATTTGACAAAATCCAACACTATTTCATGATAAAAACATTCAGAAGACTAGGAATGAAAGGAAACTTCATCCACATGATAGAAGGCATTTATGAAAAATTCACAGCTAACATCATACTCAATGGTGAAAGACTGCAAGGTTTCCCCTAAGATCAGAAACAAGATGAGGCTTCCCGCTTTCACCACTGCTATTGAACATTGTAGTTAAAGTTCCAGCCAGAGAAATTAGTCAAGAAAAAGAAATAAAAGGCATCCAAATTGGAAAGGGAGATGTAAAATTATCTCTATTCGTAGATGATGTGATACTATGTGATAGAAAATCCCAAAGAATACACACACACACACACACACACACTTAACCAAAGTTGCAGGGTACATGGTCAACACACAAAATTAGCTGTGTTTCTATACACCAGCAATGAACAATCTAAAAAAGAAATTGAGAAAACAACTCCATTTACAATAATATCCAAAAGAATAAAATACCCAGGAATAAATTTAACCAAGGAGGTGAAAGACTTGTATGCTGAAAACTACAAAAAATTCCTGAATTAAAGAAGGCCTAGATAAATGGGAAGAAATCCCATGTTCATGTATTGAAAGATTTAATATTGTTAAGCAAGCAATACTATTGGACGCAATCTACAGATTTACTACAATCCCTGCCAAAATTCCAATGGCCATTTTTTAAGAAATGGAAAAGCTGATCTTTAAAATCATACTGAATTTCAAAGGGCCCTGAATAGCCCGAAAGTCCTGAAAAAAAATGTTGGAGGACTCATACTTCCCAATTTCAAAACTTACTACAGGGCTTCCCTGGTGGCGCAGTGCTTGAGAGTCCGCCTGCCGATGCAGGAGACGCGGGTTCGTGCCCCGTTTCGGGAAGATCCCACATGCCGCGGAGCGGCTGGGCCCGTGAGCCATGGCCACTGAGCCTGCGCGTCCGGAGCCTGTGCTCCACAAATGGGAGAGGCCACAACAGTGAGAGGCCCGCATAACGCAAGAAAAAAAAAAAAAAACTTACTACAAAGTTAAAGTAATCCAAACAGTGTGGTACTGGCATAAGGATAGACATATAAGCCAATGGAATAGAATTGAGAGTCTAGAAATAAACCCATACATCTCTGGCCAATTGATTTTCAATAAATGTTCAAGACCATTCAATGGAGAAAGAACTGTCTCTTAACCACATGTCACTGGGACAACTGGATATCCACGTGCAAAAGAATGAAGTTGGACCCCTATCTCACACCATATACAAAAAATTAACTCAAAATTGATCAATGACATATATATAAGAGCTAAAGTCATAAAACTCTTAGAAGAAAACAGGGATAAATCTTCATGACCTTGGATTGGCAACAGATTCTTAGCTATGACACCAAAATCATGAGCAACAGAAAAAATAATTAGACAAGTTGGACTTCTTTAAAACTAAAAACTGGGCTTCCCTGGTGGCGCAGTGGTTGAGAGTCCGCCTGCCGATGCAGGGGACGCGAGTTTGTGCCCTGGTCCGGGAAGATCCCACATGACGCAGAGCAGCTGGGCCCGTGAGCCATGGCTGCTGAGCCTGCACGTCCGGAGCCTGTGCTCAGCAACGAGAGAGGCCACACAGTGAGAGGCCCGCGTACCGCAAAAACAAAAACAAAAACAAAAACAAAAACCTAAAACCTTTTGTGCATCAAAGGACATTATCACAAAAGTGAAAAGGCAACCTATAGAATGGGAGAAAGTATTTGCAAGTCATACATAAGATAAGGGTCTAGTATCCAGAATACATAAAGAACTCTTATAACTCGACAATAAAAAGAAACAATCTAATTCTAAGATGAGAAAAGGGCTTAAATAGACATTTCTCCAAAGAAGATGTACAAATGGATTAACAAGCACATGAAAAGATGCTCAACAGCACTAGGTATTAGGAAAATGTAAATTAAAACCACAATGAGATACTGCTTCCTACCCACTAGGATGACTAAATCAAAAAAAGAGGGGAAATAATAAGTGTTGGTGAGGATGTAGAGAAGTTGGAAACTCATACATTACTGGTGCGAACATGAAATGGTTCAGCTGGTATGGAAACAGATTGGCAGTTCCTCAAAACGCTAAACATAGAACTACCATATGACCCAGCATGATGATTGATTTTGTGTCAACTTGCCTAAGTCATGGTGCCCAGATATTTGGTTAAACATTAGTCTAGATGTCACTGTGAAGTTATTTTTTAGATGAGATTAACAGTTAAATCAGTAGACTATGAGTAAAGCAGGTTAGTCTCTGTAACATGAGTGGGCTTCATACAATCAGCTGAAAACCTTAGAGAAAAGGACTGAGGTATGCTCTAAAGAAACAGGAATCTGTCTCCAGACTGTCTCATACTCAAGCTACAACTTCAACTCTTCCCTGGGTCTCCAGGCTGCTGGCCTGCCTGCAGAATTCAGAGTTGCCAGTCCCCACAATCACATGAACCAGTTCCTTAAAATCAATCAATCATATTCTCTGTCTGTATATGTACAAATACATACACACATATACACACATCCTATTGATTCTGTTTGTCTGCAGAACTCTAACTAATATACCCAACAATTCCACTCCTAGATACATACTCAAAGGAACTGAATAAGGACTTGAACAGATACTTGTATGCCAATGATCACTGCAGCATTATTCACCATAGCCAAAAGGTAGAAACAAGCCAAGTGCTCATCAAAAATGAATGGAGAGGGCTTCCCTGGTGGCGCAGTGGTTGGGGGTCTGCCTGCCGATGCAGGGAATACGGGTTCGTGCCCTGGTCCAGGAGGATCCCACATGCCGCAGAGCGGCTGGGCCCGTGAGCTATGGCCGCTGGGCCTGCGCGTCCGGAGCCTGTGCTCCACGGTGGGAGAGGCCACAACAGTGAGAGGCCTGCGTACCGCAAAAAAAAAAAAAAAAAAAAAAAGAATAGATAAACAGAATGTGGTATATATAGAAAATGGAATACTATTCAGCCATAACAAAGAATGAAGTTCTGATTCATGCTACAACATGGATGAACCTTGAAAGCATTATGCAAAATGAAATAAGCCAGACACAAAAGAACAAATATAACATGATTCCACTTGTATGAAGTACCTATAGTAGGTAAATTCATGGAGACAAAAAGTTAAGATTAGCAGTTAGCAGGGGCTGAAGGGTGGGATGAGTAACAGAAAGTTATTGCTTTGTGGTTATAGAATTCCTGTTTGGAGTGATATAAAAATTTTGTAAACAGCTAGTGGTGATGCCGGTACTACACTATGAATGTAACTAATGCCACTGAATTGTACACTTAAAAACGGTTAAAATGGCAAATTTTATGTTACATATATTTTACCACAATTTTTTTAATTGGTAAATTAAATTCCCCCCAAAAAACCCACATTGAATTGTATGCCTTACATGGGTAAATTGTATGGTATATGAGTTACATATCAATAAAACTGTTAAAAACCAAAGTAATGTAGCATCATTTCTGCTGCATTCCATTGTTAAAATTTCCTGAGTCTAGCCCATTTGCAAGGGAAGAATTTGATTCCAATTTTGATGAGAGGAACAACAGAGAATTTGTGGATATGGGAAGACACCCATATAGGAATAAGTACCATCAAAGCCCCCCTACAGCCCCTTTCAACATTGTTATTAGAGAGAATAGTCTGGTTTACAGGAAAGTGCTTCAAAAACAATGGATCTGCCACCATGGTCAAAGAACTCTGATTTATAAATTTATAGATTATCTGTTAACTCCTAATGAGGATTTAGTTCAATAATATCCTCTTACCTCTTCCTCCCAACATTGCTATACCGTAATTTTTGGTTAATCAACATTCAGTGTTTACATTTTTCCAGTGCTCAGTGGTGTCAAATGCTTTATCCATTCCACTTTTTCCCCTGGAGACTTACCCCCAGATCTCTATCTGGACTGTTTCTCTCTAGGCTCCCCGTACAGCTGTCACCCTAGGACTTACTGATTTCTGTTTGCTGTTTTCTGGTGGTAGATCTCTCCCTTCTTGGGGCCCATGTTTTTCTTTTTGTGGTTTATTAACTTGGTGTTTTGTTTTGTTTTGTTTTGCGGTACGTGGGCCTCTCACTGCTGTGGCCTCTCCCGTTGCGGAGCACAGGCTCCGGACGCGCAGGCTCAGCGGCCACGGCTCACGGGCCCAGCCGCTCTGCGGCATGTGGGATCTTCCCAGACCGGGGCACGAACCCATGTCCCCTGCATCGGCAGGCAGACTCTCAACCACTGCGCCACCAGGGAAGCCCTTAACTTGGTTTTTGTTCATTGTTCGAAGCATCTTCTGGTAGTTTCCTACGAAAGTGCATTAGAGGTCTACTTTTTGCATCTTTGCAGATATGAAAACATCTTCTTTTCCTACCTTCACCCTTGTTTGATAATTTGGTAACTGGATTGAAAATTATTTATCTCAGAATTTGAAGGCATTTCTCTATAATCTATCTTCTTGTTCCAAAATCACTCTGAATTCTGTTCCTTTGTATATGATCTATCTTTTCTCTCTGAAATATCTTCTCTTTATTTCTGATAGTCTGAAATTTCTAATATTCTGAAACTCTGAAATTTTACAACCAAATGCCTTGATATAGACCTTTTAAAATAATTGCATATTAGATGTAGACTCTTTCATTCTTGAGAATTGTATTTCAGTTCTGGAAAAGTTATTATTCCTTTGAAAATATCTTCACCTCCTTTTTCTCTTTCTACTCTACAGATTTTATAATCTTCTCTTTTTTGTCCAATCCTGAGCAATTTTCTCAATTTTATCTTCCAGGCCTTTCCATTTATGCTCATATTTCTAATTTGTGCAGACTTTCTTATCCTCTGATTGTTCCTTGTTTCTAATATCTTATACTTGTTTTATGCTACCCTAGTCTTATTTTATGGGTGCAACTTTTTTTCATCTCCCAGAGATACTAATGATAACATTTTGATATTTACTTTGATTCCTTGTATTGCCCTATTTTCTCAGAGATCCTTTTACTCTCTTTATGTGAGTCCCTCTGTCTAATTTTGGAGGCTTTACTCAAATGTTGGATGATCCTTGGCTCTCCATGCATACTTAAGAATAAGGTTCTGCCTGGAAGCTCTGTGAACCTGGATGAGTTTTACACTCTCGTGTTGAGGTGGAGGGGTAATTCTCCTGTCTGCTAGTGTTCCGGGAGCAGGGATGAACCCTTCTCGTTGTCATCCCCCTCACAAGCACTCTGGTGAAGGCTTCCATGGCTTTGCTCAATAGTTACCACACCACCCCTGCCTGCTGCCTTCCAAATTTTGTTGAAATTACTCCTCTCCCATTCTCTTTGTTCTTGTGGCTTTATTCTTTTCTTTCTTTCTTTCTTTTCTTTATTCTGATTTTAGTGGGACTTTAAGAGGGGAAGGAGATAAATGCAAGTGGTTGACCAGATGTCCTCCATGTTATCAATAAATGTTTTGATGATAATTTCCTGACAGTTCTTCCTGCCTTCAGTTTCTTTGCCTTCAAGTCTGCTCCCAAATAATTTTTCTAAAACATAGGTCTGCTGAGGTTACATCTTGCCAAACTTTTGATGACTTCCTATACAAGAAGATTTAGAGTCCTTAGCCTGAACTACAGGGTCCTTTACAAACTGATCCTCTCCAGTGTCATCTTCTGCTGGCCTCCTTCACAGTGTAACCACCCTGGAATATTTATTTTTCCCCTAAGCTTATCATGTCCTTCTCTGCCTCTGTATCTTTTCTATTCCCTGTGCCTCAATGATCTATTCATTCTCCCTGCCTGAGAATACTCTTACTTATTCTTCAACGTTCTAACCAAGTGCTACCACCTCTGTGAAGCCTTTCAAGACTCCATACTTCACTGCAGGCAAAATTTATCAGCCCCTCTGCAGTCCCACAGCCCTTGAGGGTAGGGACTCTGCTTTCTTCTTGATATTCTAAGTACCAGGCTCAGTGCTTAGACCTTGTAGACATTCAGGAAACATTTATCAAATGTATAATTATCATTGTGGTGGTAATTGGCTCCGTTGTCATCTCCCCCTTTTAGGCACACAAGCCATGCCCCCTCTCTTCTCCTTGGGGTACCATCAGTGCCGCTGGAACTACGAAGATGAGCATGATGTAAAGGCAGTGGATGCAGGATTTGATGAACATGACATTCCTTACGATGTCATGTGGCTGGACATAGAGCACACTGAAGGCAAGAGGTACTTCACCTGGGACAAGAAGAGGTTCCCAAACCCCAAAAGGATGCAAGAGCTGCTCAGGAGCAAAAAACGTAAGGTAAAATAAGCCAGCACTCTGAACCTTTTCATTACAAAGCATTTAAAAATTTTTTAAAGTTGCCTTGATACATTAGTGGAAGAGAACCATCTGGTAAAAAGCGGCCAGGAAAATAGTACCTTCAATTGTAACTGTAACTGTGATAACAGAAAAGCAATGGTGAGAAGGTGGCCATGCCTGCCATCCATCCCTGCCTTAGCAGTCCAACCATCCCTGCCTTAGTGGTCTAGGTCCCTGTAAGGATGAAGGGGCCTAGCATTCAGTCCCATTTGTTGTGGCCACCCTGTAGTGATGTGATGGATGCACCCCACGACGCAAAATTTGATTTTGATGTCAAGATTGATTATGTCACACTGGCACCAAGAGGGTATGAAAAGGCTAATTAGTCCCATGGTGAGGCATTCTTGGCGGAGCAGACTAGCTCCCAAGCTCCTTTGAAATTGGCCTGAGAGAGCTGGGAAAGGAGACAGGATCAGGTTTTAAGGTTTTAAGGTGGTTAGAGGGTTGAACTGGGGTGAGGATTCCTGTGCATGCACCAGGGCTTGTGTGGTTTGAACTTCCTGTTGGTACCAAAGAAGGGAGCATCAGGGCTTTCTCTGTCAGTACACACGGATGTGGGTGGAAGGCTAAGGGGGAGTGATGGGGCTTGAAGCTCTTAACAGTCGCTCAGAAATGGAGTCAGATTCTTTATTACACCATTTTTCCTGCATGCTTCCCTGATGGGCTCCATCTGTCCATATGGCCAAGGAAAGAACTAAAATAGAAAATGAGGACAGGGAGAAGACACTGGAAAGTGTGTAATGCGGGGTGGTGGGGGAGTGATAGCAATAATGAAAAGGGTGAAGGAGAAGAAAACAAGAGAGGAAAAGGGAGGAACCCCGTATGTATCACATAAATGGACCCATTGCATTGAGCCCCAGGCCTTTCACAGGTGGTCAGAGCCAATGCTGTTAATTCTTAATCTCCCAATGAATAAACACCTACCATTTATCAGGCATTTATTATGGAAGCAGCCCAAGAGCCCATCAACAGATGAATGGATAAAGGAAACGTGGTATACATATACAATGCAAAATTATTCAGCCTTTAAAAGGAAGGACTTTCTGATACATGCTGCAACATGGATGAACCTTAAGGGCATTATGCTAAGTGAAATAATCCAGTCACAAAAAGACAAATACTGGGCTTACCTGGTGGCGCAGTGGTTGAGAGTCCGCCTGCCGATGCAGGGGACACGGGTTAGTGCCCTGGTCGGGGAAGATCCCACATGCCACGGAGCGGCTGGGCCCGTGATCCATGGCTGCTGAGCCTGCGCGTCTGGAGCCTGTGCTCTGCAATGGCAGAGGCCACAACAGTGAGAGGCCCGCGTACTGCAAAAAAAAAAAAAACAAATACTATATGATTTCACTAATCTGTAATACCTAGAGTAGTCAAAATCACAGAGACAGAAAGAAGAATGGTGGTAGCCAAAGGCTGGTGGGGAGGAGGGAGTAGGAAGTTGTTTTTCTGTTTTTTTTGGGGGGGGTTTGAGTATTATTTTTTAATATTTATTTATTCATTTGGCTTCACCAGGTCTTAGTTGCTGCACGTGGGATCTTTTAGTTGCAGCATGCGGGATCTTTAGTCGTGGCATGCGAACTCTTAGTTGTGGTATGTGGGATCTAGTTTTCTGACCGGGGATTGAACCCAGGCCCCCTGCACTGGGAGCATGGAGTCTTAGCCACTGGACCACCAGGGAAGTCCCAGGAAGTTGTTTTTAATAGGTATAGAGTTTCAGTTTTACAAGATGAAAAGAGTTCTAGACATTGTACAACATTGTGAACCTATTTGACACTGTTGAACTGTATGCTTAAAATTGGTTAAGATGGTGAATTTTATGTTATGCATATTTTACCACAATTAAAAAATTTTGTAAGTTTTTGAGCAATGGAGAATTAAACTTTAGTATGTAGTATAGATTTGAATAGATATGAGGAAGGATTATTAGAAGGTTATTCTAGCCAGATAAAGTGGTTTTGCGGCCCCCGAGTAGGTGGAAGTGATGGTATTAGAAGGGCAGGGAGAGATGCTGGAGAATAGTGCTGTGATCACAGCTCTTCTCAAGCCTCCTTCCTAAATATGGCTGTACCATATTTAGGTTTGGGGATTTTTTTGTTTGTTTTTAATATGCTAGTTTCTTTTCTTTAATGTTTTCTTTTGTGTTATCTTAGCCTCTGGCTATCTAGGGAGTAGGGACCTTGCTTGCTTAATCCTTTATGTAAAGCACACAGCACCACAGGGAGATAGAAGCCTAATAAATGTGATCTTAAGAACATGTATTGGTAGGGCAGCAATAATTGTGTAAAAGGATGGGCCTGGTTCTGATATCAATTTATATTCCCATAAGCCCATGAAAGGTTATAGGATTTTACTGGTGTCTGGAACATTTCAGTAATAGTAGTTGTTTTGAGTAAAATTTGAATGCCAAAACTATGATGAAAACAAGTAAATGAACATATGGCTTATATAAACCTGATGAAATCTTTAAACCTTTATGTCCTAACAGCTTGTGGTCATTAGTGACCCCCACATCAAGATTGATCCTGACTATTTAGTGTATGCTAAGGCCAAAGAACAGGGCTTCTTTGTGAGGAATCATGAAGGGGGAGACTTTGAAGGCGTATGCTGGCCTGGTAAGATGTCATTTGATACACCTGTTATCCACTGTATAGTCCCAACTAATGAAGGTTGCGTGGCCATCTTTTTAATTTCTTGTAGTTGTCACATGCTACATTTATGTGCCTTTCCTTAAAGATGATAATCTTTTATATCTTTCATTTAACATCTGGTACAGTGTGCTTTGTATACATTTATAAGTCAATGAATGAATGAAAAATTAACAAGCAAACCCCAGTGACATGCTATTTCCCTAAGCAAATAAAAATTAAAAGCCAGGGAATGAGAAAATGAGGGGAGGAAAAAGAGGAAGAAAGAAGAAGAATGCTGCAATCTCTCTCCCTGTGATTCTTCTTTGCCCTGTTAGCCCATAGTTTTGACTTCCCAGCCTTTCATGAGTGACCTCAGCTGCCCCTGACAACTCTGAAGTCTTCATTTCAGAAATTATTAGTTTAAAGCCTTGGTAAAAACTCCTCAAGGACAAAAGGGAATCACCACTCTGTCATATGGCAGCGCTCTATCACAAGTCCATGCCCTGTAGAGAAACCCCACGCATTCCTCTTCTCCCTATACCACTTATAAACATGTCTCTCCTCTCTTTAAGAACAGAGAGGTCACTCCAGGCTATCTACCACCCTCACTGATGGCCTCAGACAGGCCCCATCTTGATGCTTGTTCATTGGCATTCCCCTGGCCGCTGAGCTTGAGAGGGCTAGTGATTGTCACTGGAGTCCAGCATTGCCTTCTTCATTCGTTTCTCACCAGACCGTGCCTCTGTATCAGCTATCTTTCACATTTGATGTGAGGTGCCCATTCATTACCCAGCTTTCACATCTGATGTTCTTCTTTACAAATATATTACCATGAGGAGCACCATTCCTAACAGGCTGTCTACTCTTCTGCCTCTGCAGGTCTCTCCTCTTACCTGGATTTTACCAGTCCCAAAGTCAGAGAGTGGTATTCCAGTCTTTTTGCTTTCTCTGTTTATCAGGTTTGTTTTTATTCTTTTGCTCTTTCCTAGTTATCTGGAAGGATAAAGTAAGGGGAAAAAAGTGATTAAATAGAGCTACTCTGCTTCACTGAGTAGCTCTTGATAAATAATACTTGTATGAAAAGACAGGGATGCCAGGGACTTCCCCGGTGGTCCAGTGGTAAAGAATCTGCCTTACAATGCAGGGGACGCGGGTTCAATCCCTGGTCGGGGAACTAAGATCCCATATGCCATGGGGCAACTAAGCCCGCACACAACAACTACTGAGCTTGGGCGCCTCAACAAGAGAGCCCGTGTGCCGCAAACTACAGAGGCCACGTCCCCTGGAGCCTGTGCGCCACAACTAGAGAGAGAAAACCCACACACCACAACTAGAGAGAAGCCCGCACCACCAACACGCCTCAACAAAAGATCCCGCGTGCCTCAACAAAGTTTCCATGTGCCGCAACTAAGACCCGACGCAGCCAAAAGGAAATAAAATAAATAAATAAATAATAAAATAAATCTTAAAAAAAAAGACGGGGATGCCAACCACATTACAGACCTTGGTGGTCCAGGAGTGGTGCCATATGAATTACCGAGTGCACAAAAGCTGTGATTTTGACTTCTATTATGATAGACTCTATGATATATCAAAGTACTTAATAATAGAGACTTATATTTTCAAACTGTATAAATTTTTACATAAAATAGTATTGTATAATATTATTAAAGATGATAATGATATATGAGAAAGTATCTTGCAAAGTATAACATGATATTAAAAGCAAGGTACAATAATAATTCTTAAAATCTTATAAGAATCACAGAGAGAACTGGAGAGCCCACATCTAGAGAACCGTTTTCAATCAGCGGTGGTGATGAGAATAATGGTGCCTGATATAAACTGAGTATGTGCTGTGTGCCAAGCACTATGCTACTCACTTTGTGTGCATTATACCATTTCATCTTCACAATAACTCTTTGGAGTTGGAATTGTAATTAACTCTAATCCCACAGGTGAGGAAATCAAGGCATGGACAAGTGTAAAAACCTGCTAAGTTCACCCATCCAGTAAGTGGTGGACCTAAGATTTGAACTCAGGTCTGTCTCCCAAGCCCAGCTCTTAACCACTAAACTCTAGTTTCTGAGCATCCTGTATTAGGATATAGAAAATAACTTAGAGCAGGGGTAAAGAACACGTGGGCCAATCTGGCCTTGCTCATTTGTTTCCCTATTGTCTAGGCTGCTTGCACATAACTATAGCTGGGTTGGGTTATTGAAAAAGAGGGCTTATGGCCTGAAAAGTTGAAAATATTTACTCTCTGGTCCTTCCAGGAAAAGTTCGCCAACCCCTGCCTTAGAGGGTGCTAAACAGAACAGTCCAAGTGGTTAAATATTTGGAACCCATATAGCCGTGTTCATAGAAGTATACATGATGAGAAATAATTCAAAGTAAAGAGTCAGAAGAAAACATATAAGCCTCCTCCAGTCATTTGAAAGGCTACCATGTCGGGGAGGCAGCAGATGTATTCTGTGGTAACCCAGAAGGCAAGCTAGGCCCTGTGAGAGGATGTTACAAGGAGCAAGACTTTCAGAAGATAATGGAATGAGCTGCCTGAGGGACTCCCGGTCATTGTAGCTATTGAGTCAAATGCTGAGAGACCAGGGATTCTATAAAAGGATTGCAGCACCATGTTAACTACTGACTCAACAGCCCCTTCCCACTCTAAAGCTAACAATTCTATGTAGAACACACACTATAGATCCTGCTAACAAACGGGTATCCTAGCTGTCAAACCTTTCATAGTGTTAGAGGGAAGGGTGAATCTTTTCGTGGACAGCTATAATTGCCCACAGTTAATAGTTGTAGGGGGCTTCCCTGGTGGCGCAGTGGTTAAGAGTCCGCCTGCCGGGGCTTCCCTGGTGGCGCAGTGGTTGAGAGTCCGCCTGCCGACGCAGGGGACACGGGTTTGTGCTCCGGTCCGGGAGGATCCCACGTGCCGCGGAGCGGCTGTGCCCGTGAGCCATGGCCCCTGAGCCTGCGCGTCCGGAGCCTGTTGCTCCACAACGGGAGAGGCCACAACAGTGAGAGGCCCCCGTACTGCAAAACAACCCAAAAAACAAAAAACAAACAAACAAACAAACAAAAAGAGTCCGCCTGCCGATGCAGGAGACACGGGATCGTGCCCCGGTCTGGGAAGTTCCCACATGCCGCAGAGCGGCTGGGCCCGTGAGCCTTGGCCGCTGAGCCTGTGCGTCCGGAGCCTGTGCTCCGCAATGGGAGAGGCCACAACAGTGAGAGGCCCGCGTACAGCAAAAAAAAAAAAAAAAAGAGTTGTAGCAGATGATGGATGATGTAGAGCCTAACTGTGAACATTCACAACCTTTCCTGTAGTGGTTCTCCAGGGGGTCTCAGAGCAGACCTGTGGGCCACATGGGAGTACAGCACAGCACTCTTTCATTCATAAGTACTCAACAAGTACTTATCGAGAACCCTCTGCCATTTAGGTTGTTCTAGGTGTTTGGGATTTATCAATGAACAAAACAAACAAAATTCCCTGCCCTGTGGAACTTTTATTCTAGCAGGGGACAGAGCATAGATAATAAAATAACAAATAATAAATTAAATGGAGTAAGAAAGAGGAATAGGGATGGCTATCATATTAACCTTGTCACTGTAGGAGTTTTATCATGACCAAGATTGACTTCCTAGGGATCTACTGACATCCTCTACATATGGAACGACATGAATGAGCCCTCTGTCTTTAGAGGGCCAGAACTAACCATGCAGAAGAATGCCATTCATCATGGCAACTGGGAGCACCGAGAACTTCACAACATCTATGGCTTTTATCAGGTAAGACATCTAAAAAGCAGCCACCTGGATCCATGTGCCCTGACTTTTGGGCTGAAAGTCATTTGCTTTAACAACCATGCTATACAGTTCATTTCTTTGTGTGTCTTTTCTGACAACTGTTGATACAATGGGTCTTATCAGGTTGTAGCCAATATAAGACTCATTATTTCTCCCTTTGCATCTTTTGCATCTATAATGAACTTGGTTAATTTATAGATATTGGTTGATTAATGATAACATAGAAACATCTTCCTTGACAGGAGCCATTAGTAAATGGCATTAGATAATACCTCAAACCTTTTATTGAAGTAGGCTGTTTATAAATATGTAAACAAAGGCAATTAAAACAGATTTTTTTAAACTTCACAAATGTCTAAATACAGCAAATCTTATATTCATACCAGGGGAGTAAGATTTAGAACACAGATGCACAATTTCAATATGTGTACTTCTAAATGTAGAAAGCCTTCCTTAAGTACTTAGCCTTCTCAATAGAAGGTGGTAGAATTGTTTTCCATTTGCCAGTCACATCCAAAAAACTTGGCAGTCACTTGCCCTAATTTATATCCTTGGTTCTTTGTTATCTTCAAAATGTAATGGTGTTCCTGTGGGCCTCCCACAAATTGCTGTTTTCCAGCGGGAGCTGCTGGCTACATATAGCACGATTTTCAGATGGTATCTGTGTACTTCTCTACACAGCCTCTTGCTATAACTGTAAACTATCAATACTTTATAGTTGGAGAATTTTCTTATGTAGGCCAGGGCCAGTCACTTAACCTCTCTGAATCAGTCTCAGAGGTTTTTGTGTAGGTTACTAGAGAAAATCTTATAAAAATCCCTCGCAATAGTAAGCACCAAGTAAATACTATTATTTACTATTATTTCATTGCTATTTTAATGAGATAAATTGTTTCACTCTTTTAATAGGGGAATTTAGAGTAGTTTCATTACATCATGAAAATTATTGGGCAGATTTTTAATATTTTCCATTTCACATTCCCACCCACTATTTACTTTTTGCATGTGAAATAGCTTATTGGGGATGTCTGCACAGTGACATAATCCAGTCATCTCTTTGAAATTTTTCTCCTTTGACTTTATAGCAAATGGCCACTGCAGAAGGACTGATCCAGCGATCTAAAGGGAAGGAGAGACCCTTTGTTCTTACACGTTCTTTCTTTGCTGGATCACAAAAATATGGTAAGGACTGGTTCATATGATCAGACTTAAAAACACAAGCTAGCAATCTGTCTCCTTTGACCATATATGGTATACGGTGCTACTGTGTTGATGCCTTCCTTTTCAGTAGGTCAGGTCTTAGATTGTAGAGAGCAACGTGCTCTGAAGTGTGCATTTTGTCCTTTGAGACTGAGTAAACCAATTTTAATAAAGTTTAGTTACTTTTTTCCCACTGAAGAACTGGACACAGTTGTTGGGGGAATGACTTCAGAGTATCTGTTTGCTGGGATGGTCATCTTTTTTTTTTTTTTTAACATCTTTATTGGAGTATAATTGCTTTACATTGTTGTGTTAGTTGCTGCTGTATAACAAAGTGAATCAGCTATAATATACATACATCCCCATATCTCCTCCCACTTGCGTCTCTGTCTCACCCTCCCTATCCCACCCCTCTAGGTGGTCACAAAGCACCTAGCTGATCTCCCTGTGCTATGCGGCTGCTTCCCACTAGCTATTTTACATTTGGTAGTGTATATATGTGAATGCCACTCTCTCACTTCATCCCAGCTTACCCTTCCCCCTCCCCGTGTCCTCAAGTCCATTCTCTACATCTGCATTTTTATTCCTGTCCTGCCCCTAGGTTCTTTAGAACCTTTTTTTTTTTTTTTTTTTTAGATTCCATATATATATGTTAGCATACGGTATTTGTTTTTCTCTTTCTGACTTACTTCACTCTGTATGACAGACTCTAGGTCCCGGATGGTCATCTCTGATCCTGTCTCTTATTTATCAAGACCAAAGAAAATATACTTTAACACATTCCTTCAACCACCTGTTCCACTCAGCAATGTGGTTTAAAATAGACCCAGCTTTTGCTTGTGGTCAGCATCATCTATAACTGGATCTGGTTCACTAGCTAATGCAGATCTAGTTCAACTTAACCACCCTGTGGCAGGAAGGCTATTTTAAGTCCCCTGGCCTTGCATAAATAACCTGAAGCCTAGGTCCTAGTTTGAGGAATCCAGCCTTTATTGTACTACAGACAATATTAGGCCTCCTACTCCACCCCTGAAAACCAGCCCCAATGGCACTCTGGAAGATGCCAAAATATAATCATCAGGCAAAGATTCAAGTACAGAGATACTCAGCATTAGTCCTTAAAATAAAAAATAAAGAAAATCCAAATATCCAACAATACGGGAATAGTTATTAAATTATGGTATCATAAGGCTATTTAATATAGTAGCATTAATTGCATGAGAAAATTTTTGTGACATCATGATAAAAGAAAAAAAAAGCAGAAAGCCTAAATGTTTATATATTATCCTGATTTTGTTAAAAAATAAATATATGTAGGTAGTAATCTAAGTAATTATAATACTGTGGTGATTATGAGTGATTTTAATTTTCTTCTTTTTACTTATCTCTATTTTCCAAATTCTCTACAAGTATCCCTTTTAATCACTGTAACAAGTAAAGTCTTTGAATGAAAACACTTATAAGCAGCAGTTTAAAAAAGATAACGGGGGTGGGGGAGGGATGGACTGGGAGTTTGGGGTTAGCAGATGAAAACTATTACATAGAGAATGGATAAACAATGGGTCCTGCTGTGTAGCACAGGGAACTATATACCATGTCCTGAGAGAAACCACAATGGAAAAGAATTTTAAAAACTGTATATATATGTATAACTGGATCACTTTGCTGTGCAGTAGAAATTAGCACAACATTGTAAATCAACTATACTCTAATTAAAAAAGAAGATAACAGAAGATACGCATACTAAGTAATCTTTGATCTCTTAAATATTGGCTTACTGCCTAGTCTTCAGTACTCTGTGTGAAGCTATCAATTTGCCCCAAAGCATAGCAAGTGAGGCATTACAGAGGACACTGCTGTGTCAAGTTCTATGCTGAGACCAATAGCCAGAGAGAGCTTTCAACAGAACCACATGAGACCTGAAAACATCTGAACGTTTACATGAACTTTGTTTCTTGATAAGAATGTTGTCATGTGGGTTTCAACATCATTATGCAGATATGTACATATCTCATCTGAAGTCAAGGAGAAATTATGAGAATACTATTTTAAAAGTCCCTAGAAAATATTTTTCTTTGCTCCCCATAGCACAGCCTAAAATTTCTACAGAATATTAAAGCAAAAATAGCTACCAAAAGTATTTTGGTAAAAGATTGACAAAAATGTTTCAGGAGTAATCTAGACTTAGTAACGTAAGAGTTTTTTTTCCTTTTATGATCCTCTTTAGTGTTATATACCTTTACAAGCTCTTATCAACTATTCAGTGCACAAGAGCACTGACTTTAGAGTCAGACTGCCTGAGCTCAAATCCTACCATATCCATTGTTTGCCATATTTCCCTCACTGTAAAATAAAGTTAAACAGTGTTTACCTGATAGAGTTGTTGTAATGATTAAGTGGGATAATACAGGCAAAGCAACGTAACACCTAGCTCAGTGAGGGCTCTGTAAATGTTAGCTATTGTTATTGCTGCTATTATGTCTCCCTTGTACCGTCTTAAGTCCTCTTACAGAGGATTTTGTGGAGTTAGGGGCGGTGTGTGGCGGATAGGCATATAGATTAATGGAACAGGATAGAGAATCCAGAAAGAGTCCCACACATATATGATCAAATAATTAGCAACAAAGTTGCTAAGGCAATTCAATGGAGAAAGGAGTTTTTTCAATAAATCGTGCTGGCACATGGGGTATCCATGTGGGGAAGGGGGAAGAACCTTGACTCTTACCTCACACCATACACACAAAGTAACTCAAAATGGAATATAGACCTAAATTATAAAAGCTATGACAAACAAAAAGCTTCTAGAAGAAAACATAGAAAATCCTTGTGACTATGGGGTGGCAAAAATTTCTTAGCTAGAACACAAAAAACATGAACCATAAAATAAAAAACGATAAATTGGACTTCACTGAAATTAAAAACTTATGCCCTTTCAAAGATATTGTTAAGAAAATGAAAGTCAAGCCACAGACTGAGAGAAGATATTTGCAATATACATATATATCTGTCAAAGGACTTGTATCCAGAATATATAAAAAGAAAGAAATGTTTTCCTTTATGTTGGTTTGCCTATTACAAATAAGGAATCTAAATATGAAATTGAGTACCTGGGCTGATTTGTGATTTTTTTTCTTTTAATACCTCCTTACTGATGACCAAAGGTGCTGTGTGGACAGGTGACAACACAGCAGAGTGGAGTTACCTGAAAATTTCTATCCCTATGTTACTCACCCTCAGCGTGACTGGGATCTCTTTTTGTGGAGGTAAGTGATATCCTCAAGCTTGACATGAGAGAAAATCAAAGGGAGGGTGTTTTCTTTTTTTTTATTATTATTAATTTTTATTGGAGTATGGTTGCTTTACAATGCTGTTAGCCTCCACTGCAGAACAAAATCAATCAGCCATACAAAGGGAGGGTATTTTCATCAAAGCTGGTCACAAATCTCTTCTTGTGAGCTGTTTTCAACAGGGATACTCTATGGCCATACCGCCCTGAATGTGCCCGATCTCCTCTGATCTCAGAAGCTAAGCAGGGTCGGGCCTGCTTAGTACTTGGATGGGAAACAGGGGTAAACATGGGAAAGAGAAAATGAGAGTGAAGGAGAGCAGACTAGAGAGGAGAGCGAAGGGGACACTTCAGAGCTGTGTGTGTACTGTCTGAACTGAGCACATGAAGAAAGTCATCAGAAAGTGAGCCAGTGTTTCTTTCCCTCATTCTCTTACTGCTCCCTCCTTAGACACTCTTGATAACTGAGTTTCTCTTCTTAAAACATGCCTTTTCTACCTGAAAGTGAGAAAAATGGAGAGAACTCCAAAGAATTTAGCAAATCACAAATCAGCCTTACAGAACTCCTGTGACACGTTTTAACTGTTAAATACACACACACACACACACACACACACACACACACTCTCTCTCTCTCTCTCTCTCTCTCTCTCTCTCTCGGAAAAGATAAATTTAATTAAAATAAGATTCTCTGATGGGTTGCCTTTCCCTAATCCTAACAATTCCCTGCAGGTGAGAGATCCCAGTATGGAAGGTGCTCGGCGTGGCTACAGGTCCAGCTGCTCCTTGTTTTCAGTGGGCCTGGGAGCACCTTAATATCACTTTTTGATAGATGTGGTTTTTTATGGCATTGGTCCACATTCAGTACAAGGAATATGTATCCTGCTTAAGGGATAAGCACGAATTTCTCCCTAAACCTCTAATTTTGATTATATCTTTCCCTTTAGTTCTTTCTATAATTTTTATCTTGCTTCAGCTGTTGATTTCAAACGAAATCAATTGCCAAACCGCCACCCCACCCCTAAACACAGGCTTATTGAATCAGGCAGACATTTTGCAATTTCTGGGTTACCTGGGCTCAGGACATACAGAAATGTTGATCTTGCAGTAAAGCTTTTGACAGGAGAAAAAATATATTAAAAGAGCGCACTGTCAGATCCCCAAACAGCCTTGAGTTTTTTAGTATGTGCTCCCTAATTTGAGGCCACAGTTTTATGCTGTCATTTTGAGTGCGCATACAGCGCCTTTGCCCTGTCCGTCTTCAAGGCCTTATCTTACCTGTGTACATCGTCTGTTAGACGCCTGGGTGTCTGACTCAACCTTTCTTAATTGACTAATCAGCGGATGTAGGCGGCTTCATTGGGAATCCAGAGGCAGAGCTGCTAGTGCGGTGGTACCAGGCCGGAGCCTACCAGCCCTTCTTCCGTGGCCATGCCACCAAGAACACCAAGCGACGGGAACCCTGGCTCTTTGGGGAGGAGCACACCCGGCTCATCCAAGAAGCCATCAGAGAGCGCTACACCCTCCTGCCCTACTGGTATTCTCTGTTCTACTCTGCACACGTGGCTTCCCAACCCGTCATGAGGTAAACAGGCTTCACCAGTCACACCGGCAACGAATCTCTACCAGAAGATACCCTCAGCCACTGGCAATGGAGTGATTACAGTGATTGCAAAAGAAAAGCCATGTGTTTAACCAAGTGCCAGTCGGCTTATTGAGCACTAACTGTGAGCAGGGTCAGGCAGTGGAGGTCACAGAAGATAAAAACTAGATCTCCTGCTACTTGGTGGTTCAATTGTTAATATCTGGTAGGAGATAGAATAGGAGAAAGAAAGAAAAGAAAAAGGAAGTGACTTTGTAACTGAATTCATCCAATATTTAACCCATGTAGTTCCCCTACAAAACTTGCCACTGCAAAATGTGTCTCTTTGGCTTGAGGATTCTTGGGGGCTGATTGTTTTTAAGAAACAAAAGGCTCAGGAAGTCTTTCTTTTTAACCTCCTCCCTAACTGCCTAAAAGAATTTAGTTAAAGGACCTGGTCCAGGAAGTGCATTATCATCAGAGATATCTACAAGGAATATGAGCTAAGCATGGTAGGGGGAATGTGGGGACCGAAGTCCTCTCTGTGTCCCGTTGTCTCTGCATGGCCCAGCAAACATTTGTTTACCAGACATTTGTTTTTCCATCTCCGAGTGAATATCCTTCCTCCCCTTTGAAGTCCCAAACCCACTCCCTTCTCCTTTTCTCAGGTGTTATATGAGCCTCAATTGCCGATTGTCCTTAGGCATCATATTTTTATGGAACCCCCTCATATGTACATAATTAAATTTGATTTTCTCCCATTAAATACTCTTATGTCAATTTAATTCTTAGACCAGCCAGAAGAACCTAGACGGGTAGAGGAAAGTTGTTTTGTCGTCCCGACACCCACAAGCATCCTCTCATGAAGAACAACTTATTCTGCCAGGCTTAGCTCTGTCTTACCCTTAGGGCTTTTCCTAGTGTATAGTTATATTCTGATTCTATTTTGAAGACAGGATGTGAATACCAACTTTCTGGGTTAGAGAACAGTACACACGGAGACACACATAGTAAGTACATCAAGACCTCTAGATTAGCAGTTCCTCAGCCTGGCTCAGATCAGAATCATCCGAGGAACTTTTGAAAAATACAGATTCCAAGGCCAGCCACCAAACCTACTAGGAATCCCTTGGTTAAGTTCCAGGGATCTATATTTGTTAGAAGTTTCCCTAGTGATTTTAGACATCAACCAGGTTTAGAGACCGCTGCTTCGTTATATTTAGTAGAAAAGGAATAGATTATTACAAAGGCTAGTGAATAAACTAAAAATAAGTTTCTCTTATTAAAAAATATCTTTTCCGGGCTTCCCTGGTGGCACAGTGGTTGAGAGTCCACCTGCCGATGCAGGGGACACGGGTTCGTGCCCCGGTCTGGGAAGATCCCACATGCCGCGGAGCGGCTGGGCCCATGAGCCATGGCCGCTGAGCTTGAGCATCCGGAGCCTGTGCTCTGCAACGGGAGAGGCCACAACAGTGAGAGGCCCGCGTACCGCAAAAAAAAAAAAAAAAAAACTTT